ATCAATTTGTCATCTGCATGCCAACTGATGTAAGCCAATATTCCGCAAATTAATCTACACATGCTCAAACATGACGCCATGTACAATGGATTTCGCAATATATATACAGGTTACTGTATGTGTTTTTGAACAATTGCTGAATAAGGTTTTAGAATTGTGTTTTGGGAAGAAATGACACAGATGGTAAGCAATGGCAAAAGGTTTTGTTTGGTGCAAACAAAAACTTGGTTTTCAAGTCAACATGCAACTGGTGCAAGTTAATTCAAGTTTCATGATTACCGTATGCAACCTAATAAGCGCCCAGGGTGCTCTCAACAGAAGTAGGGGGCTCTTATTAGAATATTATTTTGGTGAAAAAAGCAGGGTTGAAAGATCGTAAATTTCTTGGTCTATGCTCACAGCCAGAAATGTCTATACGACAGGTACATGTTTCCAGAATTTAATTGTCCATAATTTAGGGTGCATATAACACACCAGTATGTATTCTACACAAATGAATAAGTCTTGTGTACATTGATCAATCGGAAGGGGTGCTAATTGGGATTGTTCACTAGCCAATATGTAAGCAAATATCTCCGTGGGTGCTTATTAGAGCGGGGCACTTCATTTCCCACTGTCTGCCTATTTATTTTTAAAAAACCTATTTCATTTAAGCCTGGACTGGAAGTCAGGGGACACATTCATGTGATGTGTTTTACATTATTTGAATATTATTACAACTATAAATTTTATGGAGGAAGAGTGTAAGATTCAGTCATCCTATTCTAAGTTCCAAATAATGTTTCCTTATTGTACAGTTTCAGGAAAATGACATGACTTTACAGCTTAGCAACAATTAGTACAATGTACTGTTTTGTTGAAATGGGTCACAGGTCATTTGTTTAGATGTTCAGGTGTGTCAAGGGGAAGAATACTTGAGATCCGTCCTCAAACTCAGTGAATGTTGTCCTAAAAACAGTTCCTTTCTTGTCATGAAGATTGACAAACATATCCTATTCAATTTGTGAATACCCAGGCCTTGGTTTAATTCATGAGTCATATTGTGCATTACGCATCTTCCTATGTGCTTTTGTAATGTTTGGCAAGATTGGTTTTGTGAAAGGACATTTGAGTTGGTGCACGATACAAAGCAGTCCGAGGTTGTCATGTCATTGTCATCATGACCCAAACACAATCAGGAAGAGTAACTGAGTCAGATACACTTTCCTCTGACCCTTTTCCCCAGGCAAGCGTGTCCACAAGCCTATATCAAAGCCTACTTCCTACCCTTGCCACATCAAGGCCACTTTTTTTCTTGGCTCGACCCTGGCGCCACCTCGCGTAGATCATGAGTTGTGCCCCTTGTAATGAAAATCTTATTGTATATCCTTATCTCGTATAGCTTCACAAACGATGGCGACTACCATAGGTGAAAACGAAAACGAAAACAAAATAGCAAAATGCTGAGGGTACTTAGTTGTCTAAGTCGTCTAAGGTCCTTTTGGCACATCAGAAACCTATAAACCTATGATTGTGGGTTCGAATCCCAGTTTGCCTCGATTATGTTTCTAGGTTCGTCAGCACCATACCCGTGCTTGTGGGTTTCACCTGCATTACTTCGGGCTTTCCTCCCACATTAAGCTGACACACCGCGATATAACTGTAATACTGTTAAAAGCGGCGTTAAACCCAACTCACTCACTCACTCACTTGAATTTGATTTTCAATATGGCCACTACATCAGCCATATTGTGAGCAATATCTAATGCAATTACCCGCCCATCTTGTTTCAAAATGTTATGAAATTTATGGCCTATGATTTATGATTAGTGTAATTTGAGACATTCCCATTTACTTTTTGAGTTTGTGCTTTTTTTTCAAAAATGTGTAATTCAATATTAAAATAGCACCTTATCATGATCATGCTTATTGAAAGATGAGTCATGTGCAATTATATCTGGAATTATATATGTATTGGTTTATAAGTAGAAAGAGATAGTTTACCAAAATAATATGATCCAAAGTAAGTAAACAGTGATACACAACAATCTGAATCAGTAAATGTTCCAAAACAGTTAACATGGTTAACGCAGAACTGAGAACAAAAAACAATGTTCTGCAACAGTAAAAGCTGTATGAAACTGATACACAATAAGCTGAATCAGTAAACACAGCTGTAGGAGAACAATACACAACAATCTTAAACAGTAAACGGAGAACAATCTGCAGCATTTAGATAGAGATTCTATTTGTGTTGATGATGGTGAATCCTGTGAACTGCATCAATGACTCAACGTTTAATCGGAAATGGCATAAGGGACCGACTATTTGATGATCTGGGGATGGGGAGCCAGGGATTTGTTAGACCAGATATTTATTCAGTTAAAACTGCAAAACCATATATTTTTGTAAGTTAAGCTGTGAGGCAAAAATTTGTTTTCTTGAAAAACAATTGCAACAATGTAGTTTCTATGGCAGACAAAACTCACACACATGCACGCACGCACTGCAATTCGAAGCATGATTATGCGGGGGTGTGGGGTGTTGGTGTGGGGTGGGTTGGACGGGTTGGACGGGTTGGACGCATAATTATCATGTGGTCTGTCTGTCCCATTGGTATGTCTGTCCATATTTTGTTTCAGAAGCATAACTTGAAACCATGAAAGATTTTTCATCCAAACTTGGTACATTTATTTACCAGGGGCTGAAGTGACGCCTTTTGCTATTGTAGGGACTGTGGGGGATTTGTCCTCTTCTGATGACTCTTGTTTTTAATAAGTCAAACAAATACTGAATAACATTTACAACACTGGGTGAATATGCTTGACAGTGTCTTAGGAACTTAGGAATATCAAATATACTTGCTCAAAAAGTAGTCAGATTTTGGTCTAAGGGACATGGTTAATGGTATACCGTATATGACCGCGTATAAGCCGAATTTTGAGGACCAGAAAAAAGATTCTGTAGAAAGGGGTCGGCTTATCCACGGGATACACTTTCATGATAGTATTTTTCAGATCGTGATCTGTCAAAAACATCGCCTGAATGACGGTCCGTTAGATCACAACTTCCCGAAAGTTTGGAAGTTGCCACGACTAGAGCCATTATTGTTATAAATTATCAATAAAGTTATTATTATACACCAATGTTGTCATTCTTAAAAAAATGTTATGCATGTTACTACTTCCGATAATAAGTTTTCAATTAAATGTTCAAAGTTTATCGTTCTTCGTAAACTCCGCGATCTTTACATGTAACAATATATGTAATTCACAGCTATAATATATAATCCCCAGATAAAATCGCCAATAGCTATTACGTACGTTTTGCAAAGTTCATAAATTGATAGTGAACAAGTGTCTACCTTTATTGAAAGAGGCAAATAAACAACTATATCGGCGAGTTATTCCGTTCGCCATTTGCAAAAACATGTGATCAGCTGTTTCCTGTGACGTCACAAACGGTGACCACTGTGATTGCTTCCTGTTGTTTAAAGCAACGCGGTACACAAGGAAATGAGCATTGATAATAACGGGCCGATTGGTATTGTCATGTTGTTTACACAAACAATTTCAAGTTGTGGGTGCTTAGCGATCGTGTTGGGAGTAGGGGCTTAATTCCTTTGTTTTCGAGAGATTAGTTTAATAAACTGGAGAAGCCTGTGAGTAAGTGATGGTCATTCAATGTGTTCATAGTATGATAGTTTATTTAATTCAATTGGATTAACATACAATAGTGGTGTAAAGGGGGTTATTAAAGTTGGTATATTTTTACTGACTGACATTCTCATCATGAGTTTGAAACGAAAACGCCATGCTTACGATGCTGAATTCAAACTGCAAGTCTTCGCTCTAGCCGATATATTTTCTCACGGGTTCATAATTCTATATACACCGATTCACAAAATGGCGCTTGGTTGTTGATGGCAACATATAACGATCATTATGAGATTAAAAAAACCCACGAGAAACAGCTTCCCACATTATGAAAGTGGATGACTGGTTTGTTAAATCTTTATTAGAAATAATAATGACTTTTTCAATATAATTACAACGTTTTTCATCTCTACGGTGTCGGCTTATCCGCGGTCATATACGGTAACTAAAAGTAGTCAGATGTTGGTCTAAGGGACATGGTTAATGGTATAACTAAAAGTAGTCAGATGTTGGTCTAAGGGACATGGTTAATGGTATAACTAAAAGTAGTCAGATGTTGGTCTAAGGGACATGGTTAATGGTATAACTAAAAGTAGTCAGATGTTGGTCTAAGGGACATGGTTAATGGTATAACTAAAAGTAGTCAGATGTTGGTCTAAGGGACATGGTTAATGGTATAACTAAAAGTAGTCAGATGTTGGTCTAAGGGACATGGTTAATGGTATAACTGTTCACACATCTTCACAAGAATATCTTTATAATCAGTTCAATCAATTCTCCTTGAATACTGTAATTTATTGCGAGAATTTGCACAAAAGTTTCCTTGTGACGAATCTCTCCTGTCAGCGACCCAAGGTTTTATTTACTATTTTGTTTTAATAATTAAAGAAAATATTCATGCACTTTGTGTAACCTCAACCAATGACCTCATGGCACTACCTGTAATGTTGACTTCTACTTGGTTTGTTGCTGAAGAGCTACAGTGTCTTGCTATTATCTGACTTTGTCCCGCCTGTGCAACTACAGTGACTTCCACTGAAGTCAATTACTTGTTTCATATGCGATCATCACAGTATTGTCACTATTGTATCAAAATATGTTTATTGCAATAACTGTATGTATACTGCAATACTTCGGTATTCTAGTGACTTTAATGGAGCCATATTTAATAATTGATGCTCCGTGGCCTCATCATGCTCATTCAAGCACCAATAAAATATAATATTATCTGGTGTTTTGTATTATTCACAGTCATATGATAAATAATGTAGAACAGCATGGCATTTAACACAGATGTATATATGTTTGCAGCACCATCTGTTGCATGAAGGGGAGTTGACATGACTCTATCATATACATGTATCAGTTAACACACGTAAGTGTTTCACTGTATGGATAGGGAAGCTACACAGCCCTGAGGTGGTGCATGTACAATGCTGCACTGATACTGATACGTCAGGTCACCTATTGTGTAAGTACCTGATTCCCATATATTTGGAGCTTGGTAACAATGCACATTGGATGCATGGGTCCTGTCTGTTGAGGTGAGTGAGAGAGCTGGGTTTATCATCACTTTGAACAGTATTTCACTTATATCACGGCGTGTCAGCTAAATGTGGGAGGAAAGCCCAAAGTGATACAGGTCTCAGACATTTTCCACTTAGGTGAACATGGTGAAACCCATGAGTGTGGATATGGTGCTAACAAACCTAAAATCATAGGCCTAATCAGGGCTAACCAGGATTCGGTCTAGCGATCATAGGTTTCTGGCATACTCAAGGGACGCTACACAGCAAATTGTGACACCTCAGTCAAATGGGAGTTACAATTGTCATGACTGATGATAAGTCTCCAGGCAGTGAGAATGTTTGGACAGAAACAGTTTGCGCTTCTGAAGGAATACACAAGCCTCGATACAATATTTCAACCCCTTTGTTTGTGGTAACTTTCAGTTTGAAATATGTTACAGTCAATTTTTTTAATATGGTACTTGGAAGCTGAAGACACTCTGATGTTTCTGCATTTGCTGAGCTGATGAAATACATTGATAATAATGGAAATCATAGAGGCGACTACCATTTCTGTATTGATTTTCTTGATCATCTGACTCGTAATGGTTTATGTAAAAATATATATATGTAGGCTGTCATCTGAATCATGATGGTATATATAGTCTCTACCTGTGACAATTTGGAGTTTGTTGGAAAAGAGGTCTATTTTCTTAGGAATTGTTTCCCTTCATCATTTCAACAAATTCCTGAATGTGAATGAAGAAGATCAGTGACATCAATTTATGTCCAGACCAGCCTTGTGGTGAATTACCTATATGAGTGTTGACAAGATACTTTGCACATGTGTGAGAGGGGTAAGTCTTGATAGCCTGCGACTGCACCCTACGCCATCCTTCTCCAGCCTGACTTCCTCAAACTGAAAATGAAGGAATTGATTAGCATCATCCTACAACTTGAATAATAACCAGTTTTTATTCTCCTGGTTTGAAAAATGGGAGGATATATAGTGATCAGCATGTCCGTCTGTCTGTCCTCTATTTTTCCATTTCTTGGGAGATCTCGTAAACCGTTGAATATTTCTTGTTGAAACTTGCTATACAGATCAGCCTAGTGGTGAACTGGTGCCTTTTGATCATTTGGAAGATATATTTTGTTCAATATTTTATGTTTTCTTGATGACAAATTGGACTTATACTGAAAATGAGGGTAGTGTTCATTCCTGGAGCAGAACTCCAAAACTATTGAATATTTTTAGATGAAACTTCCTATACAGATCAGTCTAGTGGTGAACTGGTGCCTTTTGATGATTTGGGATTTAAAAAAATTCAGAACAGCATTAGTGTTTTCTTAACTGACCTGAAGATATCCAATCATGCCTATGGCAATGAACCCAAAGTAGGGTATAAGTAGCCAAAACTCCATTTCCGAATTGCAACCCGTCGGGGGAGGAGGGGATATGTCATCTTCTGATGACTCTGGTTCGTCTATGTTGCTCATTCATGGAGCTGTTTGTATGCTGACACTCAAGAAGGAATTGTCAAATAAGTGGTTTGAGTATGCAAGACTTGATAATAATTATCATCTGTCAGTCATACCCACCCCACACTGGTATGTGTTGTTGACATCATGCAATACATTACTTGTTTGTTTCTTTGTTTCTTTGTTTGTTGTTAAATGCCACACTCAGCAATATTCCAGCCATATAAAGGCTGTCTGTAAATAATCAAGTCTGGACCAGACAATCCAGTGAATGACATCATGAGCATCAAGCTACACAATTGGGATATGATGACATGCATCAACCAAGTCAACGAACGAGTCTGACCACCTGATCCCGTTAGTTGCCTCTTCCGACAAGCATAGTCGCCTCTCAAGACAAGCATGGGTTGCTGAAGACCTTTTCTAACCCGGATCTTCACAGGTCGATTTATATTGTGAACAACATAATGACTGTAGTACTCTAAGAAATGAAGATATACATCAAGACTTCGTCAACGGGCCATCGTGTGAGAAGCCCCATGGCCATGTTGGAGAGACTGTAACAACGCTGTGCAGGGTGTGTTGTAGGAGACAGTTAAATGACAGTAGGGAATGCTTATGTCCAATAACTGTTCACAGGTAATACAGACAACCTGTCAGACAGACCTTCTTGGGCGTGTCTTGATATTTTTAGACATTTGTCCCCGAAATTTACTACATGTGGTATTCCTGGTTTCAACAATAAGAAAAAAGATAACGAATAATAACAATTCACAAGAGAGTGAAAAGACGATTATACAGTAAAAATGTAATTCATTTGCAAAGTCATGTTAACAGGACAGTTGAAAAATATCGTTTCACAGCTAACTTGTAACGTGAACTATCGACACAGCAAATTAAAAGAGCCAATAATGTATAACGAAATGGGTATTCCCTACCCGAATAAATGGCACTTCCAGGTACTGCAGGACATATGAAAGTTGTGCTTCCAATAAGGCAACTCATATATTTATCAGTGATAAATATCAGTGACCCTTGCCGTTGATAATGTATATTGACCATCCTGTTCAACAGAATCCTGTTTCAACACATGTTCAGATGCATGTGAAATCATTATGTCACCGTCAGGGATAGTTAGTGCCCTGCCCAGATGTGTAAACAGAGAGTCAACAAGTCATGCTGCTTCATCACAGATGGCAGGCAATCACAGCACCCCCAACTCCCAGAGCAGTGAATAATGGTAAGCACTATGGTGACTCGTATATAACTCCATAGTTCCAGCCTAGTTTGACAAGGGTTGAAACTGAACTTTTACAGTCAGTTACTGAAATCTTGAAATTAACGCGAGCGTGAATTAAATGCGAAAAATGCGAGTGGTCTTTGCTCGCATTATTAAACATCACATTTATATCAACAATACGACATTTTGGATAGCAGAAATACCAACTGAGACATACACTAAAAACAAACAACTATGTATTCCACACCACTGTTTAATGAGCAGCACTTGTAACAAGTATATAAACAATGTCATTCAAACACTAATTACATGCTGTGAATTGTCACTGCTGGAGTTCTACTCACTTACGTCATCACTGATCACACCTGCAAGTCCAGACAGATGCCACCCATGCAACATGGTGTCTTTGTTCTTTGCGACTGCGTCAAAGGCCGACACGAGCCAGCGCACGTGTATTGTTTTAGAGGAAGTACTATACTCAGCGCTAATAAGTGGTGCTATTTGGTGTGTGATTGGATTAATGTAAGGTTGGATTAAGGTGAGAATTCTCCTGTAAACCTGACAGAGGACATTTTCCTTAGATATAAATCCAATGATGCTTGAGAGGAGGGGGGGTAGGGGGGCGCATTTTTGGCTAGGGACCAGCGGTCGCATTCTTTTGGACACACATTAATTTCACGATTTAAGTAACTTTTATGGGTGATATTCACACTGGTGTATGGGCTGTATGTATTTTGGCCTAAACAATGATAAATCTCTGGACATGTCTGTAAATACATGTTCCCAGAATCAGGAATGATCCCACGACTGGTTTATGTTGTAAAAGGAAAGCACTTGATGGACGTCTGAAGTAAGGTGGTGGGATCAGCTCATCGTTCAGTACAGGTCACTTTGCTGTCAGGTTTCAAGTGTTATCATTGATGTTCCATTCCACACTTTTAGACATAAAATATAATTTAATTGTTTGTGTATCCATAGGCCTCTCTGTCATGTAATCCCTGATTTATCTATATGAATGTTCAAGAAGTCGTCACAGAAACAGGGACAAACAACTAATGTAAACAACTACATTTCCTGACAATATGGTCAAAGTCAAGGAGATGGAAGTCCATTTTGATATTTGTAACATCTAGGACTGCACAGAATAACTGGTATACTTCAATACACTTTTCAAAGTATATTGGGTAATAAAAATATGACAGGTTTTGTAATTATTTGCATATTTTAACCTAATATCTAAACAAAAATTTATACACAAATTATGTTTATCTTTGAAATTGATTGACAAAACAATGGCAACATGGAAGTAATGTTTCTCTCACGTTGTTAACTCCCTTTGTCCATGACTACAAGATTGTTGACTAAACACTTTAGTTCCCAATTTATCACAATACAGATACCTGTATTATAATACAATTTTGCCCGTACACATTTATGTCATGATAAAATCAGTTTGATTGTTAACATGTATTTGAAATCCCCTTTGCAATGGGATGTCTAATAAACTAATAGACTTAACCGTATTAATACAGTTGTCTTGCAGTATTGTCGAAAGAAAATCAGAACATTCAGCTGTAGCAGGTTTCTGCATGGGTTGTGAGGGAATTGACTTGTCAACATATGTTACCAACACAACATGCACAAGACATTACAAATATTATATACACCTATTTATGTATCATGCCCATCTCTTGAGGTACACTATTATTTGTTGTTTGTTGGGACACTACTGTTTTAAGAGCATTTATTAGTAAAGGCATGGATGTTTAATAATTATAGTTCCATGGTAAAGGTCTGTCAAAGGATGTCCGTTTGCTGCAGACGTATCGCCAACTTCATGACACTGAACATGTGGTAGTTGATGGTGGCGTGAACACTTTTTGTTAGAAAGGAATGCTATCACAGAAAATAAGACACAGACTGATCATGTGAATTTGCATTGCTCAGTGCAGTACTGCTCATTATCAGAACTGACTAGTACCAGACATTTGTTTTCAAACCAACAAGTACTGTACTACTCTTTGGTAGAATTTATGAGTACTGGTATGATATTGTGCCTCAGTCATTCAAAGACCCTGTGTTGTAATTTGGGTTTTGGTGCCAAACTAACGCAACCATGACTGAGATGACAGAATTCAAGTGCATCATTAGCCAATGGCATTGCAGGATTGGGAAGAAATCCATTTTCTGCTGACATGAAATGATGTATATTTCCTGTTAAAACAGAAGGAAATGCCTGATATTGTAAACAGAAGTTTAACAATGTTATGAAGAACGTTTCTGAGAATAAATAAACAAAGTACGGTAACAATCAATCATGAGAGTGTGTAGTATTATTTGTCCATGTATTTGATACGGTTGTAAATTTGCAATTGGCAATCTGTACAATACACCGTTACACCATCTATCTGGGGCACTGCCCCTGACTTACAGAATTCCTTCACCCTCGTTGTATGATACTACTATGACTGGTTTGTTAAATCTTTATTAGAAATAATGATGACTTTTTCAATATATTTACAACGTTTTCATCTTATATTATTGAATATCTGTGAGTACCGGCACATGTCTTGCAGTCCGACTTAGCAGTGTTTTTTCACTTCCTGGTTCGGCTTATCTGCGGGTCATATCATTTTCTTTCGTATTTCAATGGTCAAGTTAACACTTCGGCTTATCTACGGGGTCGGCTTATCCGCGGTCATATACGGTATGTAGAAAAAGCCAGGACAATGATTATTTTTCATCGTGTGATGCTCGTTACTTTCTGTTGTGTCAATTCGTGTTTTAATTGCAGACAAATGTCAGTGATCTAAACCAACATTCACTACAAAATGTGCTTGACTCGTGAAGATCATGGTTAAGATAGATCTCGCTGACTTGGTTGGTGCATGTCATCTTATCCTGATTGTGTGGATTGATGCTCATGATATCAATCACTGGATTGTCTGGTCAAGAATTGATTATTTACAGACCGCGGTCATAGCTGGAATATTGCTGAGTGCAGCATTAAAACGACAAACAAAACGTGCAATTTTCTGGTAGTCAGTGGTAAACAACCGTTTTGAATGAAGGTTCAACAGGGAAGAACTTTTACCACAATACTAATAACCATGGCAGAAGAATAATGGCCTTTCAGTCAGACTGATTTACAGATAAACTACTTCTAACACCTGCAGATTGAAAGCTCTTTATTCTTTTCCCATGAATTTTAGATTACAATGACACTTGACAGTTACCTGTAACGTCAACATTGGAAGGGGAATAGCTTTGTCAAAGCTTATTTGGATGCAATTTCTGTGTTTTCAGACACGGTACCTCGTTCGACACCAAGCAACACGGACAGCCATGGCGGGGTCCCCTAGCAAGCTGCCTGTGGACACAGGATGGGCCTGGACTATCGTGCTGGGTATGTGATTGTGTGTACAGCGTGATACGATCCAGAACAAGGTAAAGAACACTCACTGTGGAAGGCTGTGTTGCAATACCCACCAGCCATGACAGATTAACTGTGGTCCTATGAAAAAGCCAGGTGTTCTTTAACTTCATTTGAAGTCTACAGTCTGACTAGTTCATCCTCAGTTCTGAGGTCCAATAGAAACCTGCAGGTGCTTCTCATCACACAGGCAGTTGATGACCCATATCATCCAAACCAGTCTGAAGTACTTGTACATGTTTTGGCAGACATGTATTAACAGCTGTGGCTCCCCATCAGTAATGAGTAATGAGTTCATTTACTCATAATACTTAACTCTTTCATCACTGGCTGCCCCAGAGTTATGTCCCTTGAGACCCTGCAGTCCCTGACACTGACAAGGCCTGTACACTGGCCTCCCTGGCAGTATTATTGGAAAATCACACTATCATTTTTGATGCACTTTTTCTACCAGAAACTTGCTTTTAATATACATTTATCATATACCATTGTAAAGAGGATTAAGTATACTTTAATATTCTTTGTTGTTATTGTCTCTAACCTTTGTTATTTTCTAATTACAGGTGTTTACAAGTGAAATAAAACTTGAAAACACTGAAAAAATGAAAACAGACAATGAATTTTGGCTCAAATTGTATTACAAATCACAAAAATAAATCACAGATACAAGGTAAACATAACACAGTGGTCTTGTCATCTTGGACGGCACAGGTAATCCCAGGTGTTACAGGTAAATTCTCTTCATGCACATCTGTAAACAAATAAACAAGTTTACAACTCTTGGTACTGACTTTGTTTTCTATACTGATGTCACATATTACTTATGATACACTTACAGCCTCTTAGGTAAACTCGTTAACACAGGTAAACTTGTTAACGCAGGTAAACTCGTTAACACAGGTAAAAACACAAATATTTGATTTATTTTGTTCTTTTTCAGGATTTGAAACAAAAATTAAGTATTTAAGTTTTTAAAAAGTTATTTATCACATTATCTGAACATTGAACCACAGCTACTATAAGAATGACATCACAGGGAAGATAACACAGATTGATCTGAAGAGGGAAACATTGTAAAAGGACGGAAAGATCGTAAATTCAAGTTCTGCAAATATACAAGTTGTGATAACATATTTACAATACACTGCTATTTACAATTGCATAATAAATTAAATCAGTACTTTATTAAATCAATTAATAAATAAATAATCATTACAGTTACTAAAATTTAAATTAAGATGTAAAAAACAAGAAAACAAACATGAATATGGAAATAAATTTTATTCAAATTGAGCGAAATATAAGGACATACGACAAACCGGCAAACTACAATTCGGATTGCGATCAGAAAAATAAATTTTTAAAAAAAGAAACAGATACGTCATGCCACTCACCTTTGTTGTTGTTGTGATCGCTCGTTCACGTGTAGGCTGCATTCTCATTCGTCGCACTGATAATCTGTTCAAACACAGAATCATTGTAAAACAGTTGGAAAAAATCAATAGCACGACTCTTCACTCACCGTGTCAATATATATTCTTGAATCCGGTCGCCTCTTCAAAATCCCTCATGTCTCCACTGTCGTGTGTCCCTCTGCCACTCCCATTTTGAAAGTTGGCGGGGGGGGGGGGGGACACCTCGTCGAAACCGTCAAAATCTTCACGAAAATATTCGCGAAATTCCCTCTCCCCTTCGCGTAAATTATTCAATTCAAACACATTATTATTCCCGATATAGTCGTTGTTAATCATCTGATCGCTATCCGAATCGTAGTTGGCCGCCATTACGCTTGATTTACGATTCAAGCGAGAAAAATACCTGTCGCGAAAACAGGTGACATACCCGCGATTTTCGCGCCAAAAAGACGGGGAAATTCCATCGAATGACGTGTCAATACGTGTAGATCTCGTTTCCATATTTAGAACGAGATTACACACGAGAAAGGAAGTAGAAAGAGCGATTTTGTAAACACGCTCGCGCCGCCCGATTTATCGGGCAGCCGGGTTCTGGGCCTCGGCTTATGCTGCCCGATTTTTCGGGCAGCCGGGTCCTGGGACACGGTTTATCCTGCCCGATAAATCGGGCAGTCGGGGCGAAAGGGTTAACTAGACTTGACATAATTTTTAAGTGATACAAAGATCCGACTAGTTCTCTAAATCAGGTCCATGTGTGTGTGTGTGTGGAAGGTGGGGAGCAGGCAGTTGTCTAAGGCATCATGATTCACTGTGAAGCCTTAAATCCCTTAGGGGTGCCATCAATATGTGGTCATGGGTCTGTATCCCAGATGACATGAGTGTTTTGTGTTGCAGGTCACTTCATGAACCTGTTCTTCATGGTGGGCATCGCCAAGTCTATTGGTATTCTCCTGGAGGAGTTCCACCTCCACTTTGACGTTCCCATGGCTGTAGCTACCATGGTAATGAGTGTCACAGGCATCGTCTATGCTTTTGCTGGTAATAGAAAGACTTAAAGGAGTAGCTTGTGTAGAGAGAACAACAAAATGTGCAGGTTACCTAAGGGTGCGAAATCACATTTCCAAGTGTCTTTAATTCTTTAATGTTTTCTTTTTCAAGATGAGTTTAAATTGATAGGGAATAAGTTACAAATATTACATTTATTTACCCTTTCACAAAAACTGTTGACTAAAACGGATCCATCAGAAATACGCTAATTGACACAAAAAGGTCTCGTCAAATACATTTTTAAAAGACGTAAGGGTGTACTTGCCCATGAATAAGGGTGTACTTGTCCATGACTGAGGGCATACTTGTCCATGAATAAGGGTGTACTTGTCCACGAATAAAGGCATACTTGTCCATGAATGAGAGCATACTTGTCCATGAATAAGGGTGTACTTGTCCATTAATGAGAGCATACTTGTCCATGAATAAGCGTGTACTTGTCCATGAATGAGAGCATACTTGTCACATGACTGAGGGCATACTTGTCCATGAATAGGGGTGTACTTGTCAATGACTGAGGTCATAATTGTCCATGAATGAGAGCATACTTGTCCACGAATAAGGTTGTACTTGTCCATGAATAAGGGTGTACTTGTCCATGACTGAGAGCATACTTGTCCACGAATAAGCGTGTACTTGTCCATGTATAAGGGTGTACTTGTCCATGAATGAGAGCATACTTGTCCATGAATAAGGGTGTACTTGTCCATGACTGAGGGCATACTTGTCCATGAATAAGGGTGTACTTGTCCATGACTGAGAGCATACTTGTCCATGAATAAGGGTGTATTTGTCCATGAATGAGAGCATACTTGTCCATGAATAAGAGTGTACTTGTCCATGAATGAGAGCATACTTGTCCATGAATAAGGGTGTACTTGTCCATGAATGAGAGCATACTTGTCCATGAATGAGAGCATACTTGTCCATGAATAAGGGTGTACTTGTCCATGAATGAGAGCATACTTGTCCATGAATAAGGGTGTACTTGTCCATGACTGAGGGCATACTTGTCCATGAATAAGGGTGTACTTGTCCATGAATGAGAGCATACTTGTCCATTAATGAGAGCATACTTGTCCATGAATAAGGGTGTACTTGTCCATGAATGAGAGCATACTTGTCCATGAATAAGGGTGTACTTGTCCATGACTGAGGGCATACTTGTCCATGAATAAGCGTGTACTTGTCCATGAATAAGGGTGTACTTGTCCATGACTGAGAGCATACTTGTCCATGAATAAGCGTGTACTTGTCCATGAATGAGAGCATACTTGTCCATGAATAAGGGTGTACTTGTCCATGAATAAGGGTGAACTTGTCCATGAATGAGGGCATACTTGTCCATGAATAAGGGTGTACTTGTCCATGAATAAGGGTGAACTTGTCCATGAATGAGAGCATACTTGTCCATGAATAAGGGTGTACTTGTCCATGAATGAGAGCATACTTGTCCATGAATAAGCGTGTACTTGTCCATGACTGAGGGCATACTTGTCCATGAATAAGCGTGTACTTGTCCATGAATAAGCGTGTACTTGTCCATGAATAAGGGTGTACTTGTCCATGACTGAGAGCATACTTGTCCATGAATAAGGGTGTACTTGTCCATGAATGAGAGCATACTTGTCCATGAATAAGGGTGTACTTGTCCATGACTGAGGGCATACTTGTCCATGAATAAGCGTGTACTTGTCCATGAATAAGGGTGTACTTGTCCATGACTGAGGGCATACTTGTCCATGAATGAGAGCATACTTGTCCATGAATAAGGGTGTATTTGTCCATGAATAAGGGTGAACTTGTTCATGAATGAAAGCATACTTGTCCATGAATAAGGGTGTACTTGTCCATGAATGGGAGCGTACTTGTCCATGAATAAGGGTGTACTTGTCCATGACTGAGGGCATACTTGTCCATGAATAAGGGTGTACTTGTCCATGACTGAGGGCATACTTGTCCATGAATGAGAGCATACTTGTCCATGAATGAGAGCATACTTGTCCATGAATAAGGGTGTACTTGTCCATGACTGAGGGCATACTGATCCATGAATGAGAGCATACTTGTCCATGAATGAGAGCATACTTGTCCATGAATAAGGGTGTACTTGTCCATGACTGAGGGCATACTTGTCCATGAATGAGAGCATACTTGTCCATGAATAAGGGTGTACTTGTCCATTAATGAGAGCATACTTGTCCATGAATGAGGGTGATCTTGCCTATAGTTTAGTTTAAACATATTTTAGTCTCATGACAAGGATTGGGCACAAGTTATCACAACTTAGAACGCCCTCTCCCATAGACTTACATGTATTCTTATTTACAGTTAATAAATTAAATGACTGAAAGGAAAGAAAAGAGATAGAGAAACGTATGTACATTCACATTGCCCACTCAAACCTTTTTGTTTTCTTTATACATGTATATGTATCTAGCATCAGGTTAATATTTACGTCACAAATATATTTTTTCACAATTAACAATATAATATAATAGTGAGTGCATCAGTTCGTTTCTAGTTGATTTAAATATAGGACATTCAATGAAAAAATGATATGAATTTTCACTTGGGCTGCCACATCGGCATTTTTTATCCTCGTTTAAACCTTTTCTAAAGAAGTCATTTTTTAATTCATTGTCATCATATCTTAATTTTGTATGTATTATGTTAATTTTCCTTAGACCATGTGAGAAATATGATGGAACTGTAGATCTGTCTGTTCTTAAACTGGATTTAAATTGAGGGAATGTTTTAATATTACTTTGCTGAATAGGTAATGTATTCCACAATTTGATTATGGATGGTATAAACGAGGATTCAGATCATTTAGTACGTAATAGAGGCATAGTTATATTGTGAGCGGTTCTAAGGTTGTATGTTGCGTTTGTCCCGACAGAGTGAGGTACAAGATCTTTCAGGTATGAAGGTGTCATATTGTTATATATTTGATAAAATAAACACAATTTACGTTTTTTCCTGCGCTGTGATAAGGGCTCCCAGGAAGTTTCGAAATATAAATTTTTGACAGAGGTGTAGGTTGCCCATAAATGAGGGTGTACTTGTCCATGAATAAGGGTGTACTTGTCCATGAATGAGGGAGTACTTGTCCATAAATGAGGCTGTACTTGTCCAACAGAGAAGATTTCTGAAAATATTACAGTGTATTGAAGAAAAGTGAATATGAAGAAAAACCAGTGCATTTTAGTGATTATTATCTGCCATTACTTGTGATTCCAACTATGCTTCCTGTGGTAAGTTGATCAGTAGGTAGCCTGTGTCTTGTGGTGATGTAAGGATAACTGATCACGACACGGGAGAGTCACCGGCCAGTGGATTACATTTGATCTTCAACTGAGTGTCACCTGTCCATACTACACATTTAGAGTTGTTGCCAGGATATCATTTGTTATTTTAATCAGTGAGGACGTAAACCACTATATGCTCTTAGTTTGTCTCATGTGTTAGCAGGGCGTCCAACATGACTGAGGGTCACACCCCGTTATATCTCAACCATGTTAACTAAACGTTGTACATGTGTATATTGCAGTACACTACACATTGTACTGGACCAGCAGTCTTTGAACAAGGGTTGTGAGAGTAACTTCATCAGTATATATTCCTGGAGGATTGGTCTTTATTTATCAAACAATTGTGAACATAAGTGTCTCGCCGATTCCTAATTCACAATTATGCATATGAAAGTTATAAACTGAACACCACTAACCTCTTGATTGTTCTTCAGCACCCCTCAGCATCCTGGTGGCGGAGAAGTTCACAGCCCGCAGAGTCATTATGGTGTCCGGAGTTGTGGCCCTTGTCATGATGGCCCTGAGCAGTCTGCTGGTCAACATGGTGTATGTCATCCTGTTGTTTGGTGTCGGTTTTGGTGAGTCCACAAGGCAACCGTCCTAAATCATTTTGTACAAAGGATAATGGAAGTAGTTCTTGTGGTCATTTTAAAAAGAAACTTTACACCATAAGAAATTAGTCAGACTGTTGGTAGTGTCTTAATTTTGTGCATAATTTATCAGTTTAGTTTCTGTCTTCTATTCAACTGGATTGGGTACATGTCAGCACAACTATGAAGACCCTCCCTGAACTTCAAGTAACTATCTCTAAGTTAATTAATGCATTGAGAATATGAAAGGTTCCAAAAGTGTAATGTTGGTCTGCTGCATTGTCCTGCCTCATTAATACAAGTACCAGCTTTTTCTTCTCAAACTTATTGGTCAAGCTATGTGCTTGTTTCAGGGCTTGGTAATGCTGCCATCTATGGAAACGGCCTGATCCTACTCGGTCAATACTTCAAGAAACGTCGGTCATTGGCCAATGGCCTGGCACTGTCTGGGTCAAGCATTGGCCAGTTTGTACTCCCCCCGGTCATACAGTTCTTCCTGGAAACCTACTCACTAGGTGGCACTGTGTTGTTGATCAGCGCCCTCTACTTTCATGTGACACTGTTTGGATCTCTCTTCCGCCCCATTTCTTACTACCAGAAGGATTCACTGAGTGATGAAGACAAATTTGTTGACATACTTGAAATGGAGAAATGTCATGACAGTGATGTTCATGAGAAGGCTAAGATGGTCACAAGCAATGGGGAGATTGGTGTGGAGAACATGAGTGACCATGACGACCATGAAGTGCATGCAGTGATGGCCAGTACAGGGAGTATATACCTGGGCTCCGTCACAAGCCTTGAAGACATGACTACAGAACATAACGCCAGTCGTATCTACAAAGACCAACCAAACATTTCAATTAATGTTGCTTCAGTACTCAGAAAAATGTTTGATTTTTCTGTTCTCAAAAACTATGTTTGTGTTTTATATGTGATTGTGAGTTTCTTAGGATTTTTTGGCCATTTTAATTTTGTGTTATTTCTACCCTCGTTTGCTTTAACTAAAGGCATAACAAAGTACAACAAAGCCCTGTTGGTGTCTATTTGTGGAGCGTGTGACCTGGCTGGACGTGTCCTCTTTGGCTTCGTGGGAGATTTGAATATAATTCAGAGATACAAGATTAAAAGTATTTGTCTGATACTTCTAGCAGTAAACACAGCAATGTTTATCTTTGCTGACACGTTTGCATGGATTGCAGTTCACTCTGCTTTGTATGGGTTTTTGGGAGGAGGATTCGTTGGCATGATAGCTGTGGTGCTGATAGACCTTGTCGGCCTGGACAAGATGGCGCGTGTCCTTGGCGTTGTCTTGCTGGTGCAGGGGATTGGAGCTGCCACAGGGCAGCCGTTGTTAGGTAAGTCACTGCAAGATAGCCATTGTTAGTAGGTCACTGCAGGATAGACATTGCTAGGTAAGTCACTGCAAGATAGCCATTGCTAGGTAAGTCACTGCAAGATAGCCATTGCTAGTAAGTCACTGCAAGATAGCCATTGCTAGTAGGTCACTGCGGGATAGCCGTTGTTAGGTAAGTCACTGCAAGATAGCCATTGCTAGTAGGTCACTGCAGGATAGACATTGCTAGGTAAGTCACTGCAAGATAGCCATTGCTAGTAGGTCACTGCAAGATAGCCATTGCTAGTAGGTCACTGCAGGATAGCCATTGCTAGTAAGTCACTGCAAGATAGCGATTGCTAGATAAGTCACTGCAAGATAGCCATTGCTAGTAGGTTAATGCGGGATAGATGTTGCTAGGTAAGTCACTGCAAGATAGCCATTGCTAGATAAGTCACTGCAAGATAGCCATTGCTAGTAGGTTACTGCGGGATAGACGTTGCTAGGTAAGTCACTGCAAGATAGCCATTGTTAGGTACGAGTAAGTCACTGCAAGATAGCCATTGCTAGTAGGTCACTGCAAGATAGCCATTGTTAGGTAAGAGTAAGTCACTGCAAGATAGCCATTTCTAGTAGGTCACTGCGGGATAGACGTTGCTAGGTAATTAACAGGAAGATAGCCATTGCTAGTAAGTCACTGAAAGATAGCCATTGCTAGCAGGTCACTGCAAGATAGCCATTGTTAGGTACGAGTAAGTCACTGCAAGATAGCCATTGCTAGTAGGTCACTGCAAGATAGCCATTGTTAGGTAAGAGTAAGTCACTGCAAGATAGCCATTTCTAGTAGGTTACTGCGAGATAGCCATTGCTAGTAGGTCACTGCAAGATAGCCATTGTTAGGTACGAGTAAGTCACTGCAAGATAGCCATTGCTAGTAGGTTACTGCGGGATAGCCATTGCTAGTAGGTCACTGCAAGATAGCCATTGTTAGGTAAGAGTAAGTCACTGCAAGATAGCCGTTGCTAGGTAAGTCACTGCAAGATAGCCATTGCTAGTAGGTCACTGCAAGATAGCCATTGCTAGTAGGTCACTGCGGGATAGCCATTGTTAGGTAAGTCACTGCAAGATAGCCATTGCTAGTAGGTCACTTCGGGATAGACGTTGCTAGTAGGTCACTGCGGGATAGACGTTGCTAGTAGGTCACTGCAAGATGCCATTGTTAGGTACGAGTAAGTCACTGCAAGATAGACATTGTTAGGTAAGTCATTGCGGGATAGCCATTGCTAGTAGGTCACTGCAAGATAGCCATTGCTAGTAAGTCACTGCAAGATAGCCATTGTTAGGTACGAGTAAGTCACTGCAAGATAGACATTGTTAGGTAAGTCACTACGGGATAGCCATTGCTAGTAGGTCACTGCAAGATAGCCATTGCTAGTAGGTCACTGCAAGATAGCCATTGCTAGTAGGTCACTGCGGGATAGATGTTGCTAGGTAAGTCACTGCAAGATAGCCATTGCATGTAGGTCACTGCAAGATAGCCATTGCTAGTAGGTCACTGCGGGATAGCCGTTGTTAGGTAAGTCACTGCAAGATAGCCATTGCTAGTAGGTCACTGCAGGATAGACATTGCTAGATAAGTCACTGCAAGATAGCCATTGCTAGTAGGTCACTGCAAGATAGCCATTGCTAGTAGGTCACTGCAGGATAGCCATTGCTAGTAAGTCACTGCAAGATAGCCATTGCTAGATAAGTCACTGCAAGATAGCCATTGCTAGTAAGTTAATGCGGGATAGATTTTGCTAGGTAAGTCACTGCAAGATAGCCATTGCTAGGTAAGTCACTGCAAGATAGCCATTGCTAGTAGGTTACTGCGGGATAGACGTTGCTAGGTAAGTCACTGCAAGATAGCCATTGTTAGGTACGAGTAAGTCACTGCAAGATAGCCATTGCTAGTAGGTCACTGCAAGATAGCCATTGTTAGGTAAGAGTAAGTCACTGCAAGATAGCCATTTCTAGTAGGTCACTGCGGGATAGACGTTGCTAGGTAATTAACAGGAAGATAGCCATTGCTAGAAGGTCACTGCAAGATAGCCATTGCTAGCAGGTCACTGCAAGATAGCCATTGTTAGGTACGAGTAAGTCACTGCAAGATAGCCATTGCTAGTAGGTCACTGCAAGATAGCCATTGTTAGGTAAGAGTAAGTCACTGCAAGATAGCCATTTCTAGTAGGTTACTGCGAGATAGCCATTGCTAGTAGGTCACTGCAAGATAGCCATTGTTAGGTACGAGTAAGTCACTGCAAGATAGCCATTGCTAGTAGGTTACTTCGGGATAGCCATTGCTAGTAGGTCACTGCAAGTTAGCCATTGTTAGGTAAGTCACTGCAAGATAGCCGTTGCTAGGTAAGTCACTGCAAGATAGCCATTGCTAGTAAGTCACTGCAAGATAGCCATTGATAGTAGGTCACTGCGGGATAGCCATTGTAAGGTAAGTCACTGCAAGATAGCCATTGCTAGTAGGTCACTTCGGGATAGACGTTGCTAGTAGGTCACTGCGGGATAGACGTTGCTAGTAGGTCACTGCAAGATGCCATTGTTAGGTACGAGTAAGTCACTGCAAGATAGCCATTGCTAGTAGGTTAATGCGGGATAGATGTTGCTAGGTAAGTCACTGCAAGATAGCCATTGCTAGGTAAGTCACTGCAAGATAGCCATTGCTAGTAGGTTACTGCGGGATAGACGTTGCTAGGTAAGTCACTGCAAGATAGCCATTGTTAGGTACGAGTAAGTCACTGCAAGATAGCCATTGCTAGTAGGTCACTGCAAGATAGCCATTGTTAGGTAAGAGTAAGTCACTGCAAGATAGCCATTTCTAGTAGGTCACTGCGGGATAGACGTTGCTAGGTAATTAACAGGAAGATAGCCATTGCTAGTTGGTCACTGCAAGATAGCCATTGCTAGCAGGTCACTGCAAGATAGCCATTGTTAGGTATGAGTAAGTCACTGCAAGATAGCCATTGCTAGTAGGTCACTGCAAGATAGCCATTGTTAGGTAAGAGTAAGTCACTGCAAGATAGCCATTTCTAGTAGGTTACTGCGAGATAGCCATTGCTAGTAGGTCACTGCAAGATAGCCATTGTTAGGTACGAGTAAGTCACTGCAAGATCGCCATTGCTAGTAGGTTACTTCGGGATAGCCATTGCTAGTAGGTCACTGCAAGATAGCCATTGTTAGGTAAGTCACTGCAAGATAGCCGTTGCTAGGTAAGTCACTGCATGATAGCCATTGCTAGTAAGTCACTGCAAGATAGCCATTGCTAGTAGGTCACTGCGGGATAGCCATTGTAAGGTAAGTCACTGCAAGATAGCCATTGCTAGTAGGTCACTTCGGGATAGACGTTGCTAGTAGGTCACTGCGGGATAGACGTTGCTAGTAGGTCACTGCAAGATGCCATTGTTAGGTACGAGTAAGTCACTGCAAGATAGACATTGTTAGGTAAGTCATTGCGGGATAGCCATTGCTAGTAGGTCACTGCAAGATAGCCATTGCTAGTAAGTCACTGCAAGATAGCCATTGTTAGGTACGAGTAAGTCACTGCAAGATAGACATTGTTAGGTAAGTCACTACGGGATAGCCATTGCTAGTAGGTCACTGCAAGATAGCCATTGCTAGTAGGTCACTGCAAGATAGCCATTGCTAGTAGGTCACTGCGGGATAGATGTTGCTAGGTAAGTCACTGCAAGATAGCCATTGCTAGTAGGTCACTGCAAGATAGCCATTGCTAGTAGGTCACTGCAAGATAGCCATTGTTAGGTACGAGTAAGTCACTGCAAGATAGCCATTGCTAGTAGGTCACTGCAAGATAGCCATTGTTAGGTAAGAGTAAGTCACTGCAAGATAGCCATTTCTAGTAGGTTACTGCGAGATAGCCATTGCTAGTAGGTCACTGCAAGATAGCCATTGTTAGGTAAGAGTAAGTCACTGCAAGATAGCCATTGCTAGTAGGTCACTGCAAGATAGCCATTGCTAGTAGGTCACTGCAAGATAGCCATTGTTAGGTACGAGTAAGTCACTGCAAGATAGCCATTGCTAGTAGGTCACTGCAAGATAGCCATTGTTAGGTACGAGTAAGTCACTGCAAGATAGCCATTGCTAGTAGGTCACTGCAAGATAGCCATTGCTAGTAGGTCACTGCAAGATAGCCATTGCTAGTAGGTCACTGCGGGATAGATGTTGCTAGGTAAGTCACTGCAAGATAGCCATTGCTAGTAGGTCACTGCAAGATAGCCATTGCTAGTAGGTCACTGCAAGATAGCCATTGTTAGGTACGAGTAAGTCACTGCAAGATAGCCATTGCATGTAGGTCACTGCAAGATAGCCATTGTTAGGTAAGAGTAAGTCACTGCAAGATAGCCATTTCTAGTAGGTTACTGCGAGATAGCCATTGCTAGTAGGTCACTGCAAGATAGCCATTGTTAGGTAAGAGTAAGTCACTGCAAGATAGCCATTGCTAGTAGGTCACTGCAAGATAGCCATTGCTAGTAGGTCACTGCAAGATAGCCATTGTTAGGTAAGAGTAAGTCACTGCAAGATAGCCATTGCTAGTAGGTCACTGCAAGATAGCCATTGTTAGGTAAGAGTAAGTCACTGCAAGATAGCCATTTCTAGTAGGTTACTGCGAGATAGCCATTGCTAGTAGGTCACTGCAAGAAAGCCATTGTTAGGTACGAGTAAGTCACTGCAAGATAGCCATTGCTAGTAGGTAACTGCAAGATAGCCATTGCTAGTAGGTCACTGCAAGATAGCCATTGCTAGTAGGTCACTGCGGGATAGACGTTGCTAGGTAAGTCACTGCAAGATAGCCATTGCTAGTAGGTCACTGCAAGATAGCCATTGCTAGTAGGTCACTGCAAGATAGCCATTGTTAGGTAAGAGTAAGTCACTGCAAGATAGCCATTTCTAGTAGGTTACTGCGAGATAGCCATTGCTAGTAGGTCACTGCAAGATAGCCATTGTTAGGTAAGAGTAAGTCACTGCAAGATAGCCATTGCTAGTAGGTCACTGCAAGATAGCCATTGCTAGTAGGTCACTGCAAGATAGCCATTGTTAGGTACGAGTAAGTCACTGCAAGATAGCCATTGCTAGTAGGTCACTGCAAGATAGCCATTGTTAGGTAAGAGTAAGTCACTGCAAGATAGCCATTTCTAGTAGGTTACTGCGAGATAGCCATTGCTAGTAGGTCACTGCAAGATAGCCATTGTTAGGTACGAGTAAGTCACTGCAAGATAGCCATTGCTAGTAGGTCACTGCAAGATAGCCATTGCTAGTAGGTCACTGCAAGATAGCCATTGCTAGTAGGTCACTGCGGGATAGACGTTGCTAGGTAAGTCACTGCAAGATAGCCATTGCTAGTAGGTCACTGCAAGATAGCCATTGCTAGTAGGTCACTGCAAGATAGCCATTGCTAGTAGGTCACTGCAAGATAGCCATTGCTAGTAGGTTTCTGTAGGATAGCCGTTGCTAGGTAGGTCACTGCAGGACAGACGTTACTAGGTAAGGCCCTGCAAGATAGCCATTGTTAGTAGGTTACTGCGGGATATACGTTGCTAGGTAGGTCACTGCAGGAAAGACGTTACTCGGTAAGTTACTGCAAGATAGCCATTGCTAGTAGGTTACTGCGGGATAGCCATTGCTAGTAGGTTACTGCGGGATAGCCGTTGTTAGGTAAGTCACTGCAAGATAGCCATTGCTAGTAGGTTACTGCAAGATAGCCATTGCTAGTAGGTCACTGCAGGATAGCCATTGCTGTAGGTCACTGCAGGATAGACATTGCTAGGTAAGTCACTGCAAGAAAGCCATTGCTAGTAGGTTTCTGCAAGATAGCCATTGCTAGTAGGTCACTGCAGGATAGCCATTGCTATTTAGTCACTGCAAGAAAGCCATTGCTAGGTAAGTCACTGCAAGATAGCCATTGCTAGTAGGTCACTGCAAGATAGCCATTGTTAGGTACGAGTAAGTCACTGCAAGATAGCCATTGCTAGTAGGTCACTGCAAGATAGCCATTGCTAGTAGGTCACTGCAAGATAGCCATTGCTAGTAGGTCACTGCGGGATAGATGTTGCTAGGTAAGTCACTGCAAGATAGCCATTGCTAGTAGGTCACTGCAAGATAGCCATTGCTAGTAGGTCACTGCAAGATAGCCATTGTTAGGTACGAGTAAGTCACTGCAAGATAGCCATTGCATGTAGGTCACTGCAAGATAGCCATTGTTAGGTAAGAGTAAGTCACTGCAAGATAGCCATTTCTAGTAGGTTACTGCCTGATAGCCATTGCTAGTAGGTCACTGCAAGATAGCCATTGTTAGGTAAGAGTAAGTCACTGCAAGATAGCCATTGCTAGTAGGTCACTGCAAGATAGCCATTGCTAGTAGGTCACTGCAAGATAGCCATTGTTAGGTAAGAGTAAGTCACTGCAAGATAGCCATTGCTAGTAGGTCACTGCAAGATAGCCATTGTTAGGTAAGAGTAAGTCACTGCAAGATAGCCATTTCTAGTAGGTTACTGCGAGATAGCCATTGCTAGTAGGTCACTGCAAGAAAGCCATTGTTAGGTACGAGTAAGTCACTGCAAGATAGCCATTGCTAGTAGGTAACTGCAAGATAGCCATTGCTAGTAGGTCACTGCAAGATAGCCATTGCTAGTAGGTCACTGCGGGATAGACGTTGCTAGGTAAGTCACTGCAAGATAGCCATTGCTAGTAGGTCACTGCAAGATAGCCATTGCTAGTAGGTCACTGCAAGATAGCCATTGTTAGGTAAGAGTAAGTCACTGCAAGATAGCCATTTCTAGTAGGTTACTGCGAGATAGCCATTGCTAGTAGGTCACTGCAAGATAGCCATTGTTAGGTAAGAGTAAGTCACTGCAAGATAGCCATTGCTAGTAGGTCACTGCAAGATAGCCATTGCTAGTAGGTCACTGCAAGATAGCCATTGTTAGGTACGAGTAAGTCACTGCAAGATAGCCATTGCTAGTAGGTCACTGCAAGATAGCCATTGTTAGGTAAGAGTAAGTCACTGCAAGATAGCCATTTCTAGTAGGTTACTGCGAGATAGCCATTGCTAGTAGGTCACTGCAAGATAGCCATTGTTAGGTACGAGTAAGTCACTGCAAGATAGCCATTGCTAGTAGGTCACTGCAAGATAGCCATTGCTAGTAGGTCACTGCAAGATAGCCATTGCTAGTAGGTCACTGCGGGATAGACGTTGCTAGGTAAGTCACTGCAAGATAGCCATTGCTAGTAGGTCACTGCAAGATAGCCATTGCTAGTAGGTCACTGCAAGATAGCCATTGCTAGTAGGTCACTGCAAGATAGCCATTGCTAGTAGGTTTCTGTAGGATAGCCGTTGCTAGGTAGGTCACTGCAGGACAGACGTTACTAGGTAAGGCCCTGCAAGATAGCCATTGTTAGTAGGTTACTGCGGGATATACGTTGCTAGGTAGGTCACTGCAGGAAAGACGTTACTCGGTAAGTTACTGCAAGATAGCCATTGCTAGTAGGTTACTGCGGGATAGCCATTGCTAGTAGGTTACTGCGGGATAGCCGTTGTTAGGTAAGTCACTGCAAGATAGCCATTGCTAGTAGGTTACTGCAAGATAGCCATTGCTAGTAGGTCACTGCAGGATAGCCATTGCTGTAGGTCACTGCAGGATAGACATTGCTAGGTAAGTCACTGCAAGAAAGCCATTGCTAGTAGGTTTCTGCAAGATAGCCATTGCTAGTAGGTCACTGCAGGATAGCCATTGCTATTTAGTCACTGCAAGAAAGCCATTGCTAGGTAAGTCACTGCAAGATAGCCATTGCTAGTAGGTTACTGCGGGACAGACGTTGCTAGGTAAGTCACTGCCAGATAGCCTTTGCTAGGAGGTTACTGCAAGATAGCCATTGCTAGTAGGTCACTGCAAGATAGCCCATGCTAGTACATGTAGGTCACTGCAAGACAGCCATTGCTAGTAGGTTACTGCGGGATAGCCGTTGCTAGGTAAGTCACTGCAAGATAGCCTTTGCTAGTAGGTCACTGCAAGATAGCCATTGCTAGTAGGTAACTGTGGGAAAGCCATTCCTAGGTAGGTCACTGCAGGACAGACGTTACTAGGTAAGGCCCTGCAAGATAGCCATTGCTAGTAGGTAACTGCGGGATATACGTTGCTAGGTAGGTCACTGCAGGAAAGACGTTACTCGGTAAGTCACTGCAAGATAGCCATTGCTAGTAGGTTACTGGGGGATAGCCATTGCTAGTAGATTACTGCGGGATAGCCGTTGTTAGGTAAGTCACTGCAAGATAGCCATTGCTAGTAGGTTACTGCAAGATAGCCATTGCTAGTAGGTCACTGCAGGATAGCATTGCTAGTATGTCACTGCAGGATAGACATTGCTAGGTAAGTCACTGCAAGATAGCCATTGCTAGTAGGTTACTGCAAGATAGCCATTGCTAGTAGGTCACTGCAGGATAGCCATTGCTAGTAGGTCACTGCAGGATAGACATTGCTAGGTAAGTCACTGCAAGATAGCCATTGCTAGGTAAGTCACTGCAAGATAGCCATTGCTAGTAGGTTACTGCAAGATAGCCATTGCTAGTATGTCACTGCAAGATAGCCATTGCTAGGTAAGTCACTGCCAGATAGCCATTGCTAGTAGGTTACTGCAAGATAGCCATTGCTAGTATGTCACTGCAAGATAGCCCATGCTAGTACATGTAGGTCACTGCAAGACAGCCATTGCTAGTAGGTTACTGCGGGATAGCCGTTGCTAGGTAAGTCACTGCAAGATAGCCATTGCTAGGTAAGTCACTGCAAGATAGCCATTGCTAGTAGGTTACTGCGGGACAGACGTTGCTAGGTAAGTCACTGCAAGATAGCCTTTGCTAGGAGGTTACTGCAAGATAGCCATTGCTAGTATGTCACTGCAAGATAGCCCATGCTAGTACATGTAGGTCACTGCAAGACAGCCATTGCTAGTAGGTTACTGCGGGATAGCCGTTGCTAGGTAAGTCACTGCAAGATAGCCATTGCTAGGAGGTTACTGTGGGATAGCCGTTGCTAGGTAGGTCACTGCAGGACAGACGTTACTAGGTAAGTCACTGCAAGATAGCCATTGCTAGTAGGTTACTGCGGGATAGACTTTGCTAGGTAGGTCACTGCAGGACAGACATTACTAGGTAAGTCACTGCAAGATAGCCATTGCTATTAGGTTACTGCGGGATATACGTTGCTAGGTAGGTCACTGCAGGAAAGATGTTACTCGGTAAGTCACTGCAAGATAGCCATTGCTAGTAGGTTACTGCATAGCCGTTAGGTAAGTCACTGCAAGATAGCCATTGCTAGTAGGTTACTGTGGGATAGACATTGCTAGGTAGGTCACTGCGGGACAGACGTTGCTAGGTAGGTCACTGCAGGACAAATGTTGCAAGCTAGGTCACCTAAGGACAGCCATTGCAAGATATGTCACTGTAGGACATGGTTGCTTGGTAGGTCACTGCAGGACAAATATTTGCATGATACAAATATATCCAATACAGCCCATGCAAGTCTATAATGTTTATCAAGTCTAGATTACTGCAGTATCATAAAGAGTCTCTGGGCTCCTTTTTATTATATTTATATTAAGATACTAGATGCTAGTCTAGTCACTGCAGGACAACTGTTGCAATGTTTTGTCATTTGGGCTTGTTTCACATTTTCTACAAAATACCGACAATAATCTAAGTGTGAACAACAGGAACTTAAACTGTCTGATTTGACATTTGCAGGTTTGATAAAGGACATGACTGGTCAGTACGACATTGTTATCTACATCTGCAGCAGTTGCTGTCTGGTCAGTGGGATTTTACTGCTGTGCTGGCCTATGGTCAGACGCATGGAAAAACGACGGCAGGAACACAAGGGCACCACAACATAGCATGCTGGAAGAGTAAGGATGGATGGGGGAGTAAGGAAACCCACTGTCCACCAAAAATGTCCTTATGGTTGGGAGTAAGGAAAGATACTGTCCACCAAGGATGTCCTTGTGGTGAGGAGTAAGGAAACATACTGTCCACCAAGGATGTCCTTGTGGTGGGGAATAAGGAAACATACTGTCCACCAAGGATGTCCTTGTGGTTGGGAGTAAGGAAACATACTGTCCACAAAGGATGTCCTCGTGGTGAGGAGTAAGGAAACATACTGTCCACAAAGGATGTCCTTGTGGTTGGGAGTAAGGAAACATACTGTCCACCAAGGATGTCCTCGTGGTGAGGAGTAAGGAAACATACTGTCCACAAAGGATGTCCTTGTGGTTGGGAGTAAGGAAACATACTGTCCACAAAGGATGTCCTTGTGGTTGGGAATAAGGAAACATACTGTCCACCAAGGATGTCCTTGTGGTTGGGAGTAAAGAAACATACTGTCCACCAAGGATGTCCTTGTGGTTGGGAGTAAGGAAACATATTGTCCACCAAGGATGTCCTTGTGGTTGGGAGTAAGGAAACATATTGTCCACCAAGAATTTCCTTGTGCTGAGAAGTAAGGAAACATATTGTCCACCAAGGATGTCCTTGTTGTTGGGAATAAGGAAACATACTGTCCACAAAGGATGTCCTTGTGAGGAGTAAGGAAACATACTTTCCACCAAGGATGTCCATGTGCTGAGAAGTAAGGAAACATAATGTCCACTAAGGATGTCCTTGTTGTGGGGAATAAGGAAATATACTGTCCATCAAGGATGTCCTTGTGGTGAGGAATAAGGAAATATACTGTCCATCAAGGATGTCCTTGTGGTGGGGAATAAGGAAACATACTGTCCATCAAGGATGTCCTTGTGGTGGGGAATAAGGAAACATACTGTCCATCAAGGATGTCCTTGTGGTGAGGAGTGAGGAAACATACTGTCTGCTTGACAAGTGTATGTCCTCCAAATGGCCAAAACATGACAACAGTGTGCATGACAACTTCCCAGTAAGCACTCCATTTCATGGCTTGCAGTTGTTGCAGTCTGCCAACTTTTGTGAAGGAAAGTTCCAGAATTGTTTTAAACCCATCTCCAACAAAATGCAAGATTTATGTTAAATTCGCAATCGCAGAAATGTAATAGTTTGCTCTACACACATGTGAAGTGTGTAATAATGTATAGTTTTGCCCTGAACTATGCAAACTATAATAGTTCAGGGCAACACAGGGGGTAGAGCGAACCTTATTTCTTAAATATATTGTTACTAAATATAATATAGTGGTTATTGGAGGATACAATCTTTTTTAGCAAGTTCTATATTTGTTGTTATATACATTTTTATGTTGTGTTTGTTGTTATTCAGTGTGTATGTTCTATGGCTGATTAATGATGTACTGCCAAGGATGTATTGTTACCTGATCTTGAGGAGTACTGGAGTTTACCTGTTTTCCCTGTAGTGCTGTACATTGTGTTGGCACCGTGTAGTGCTGTACATTTTGTTGGCACCGTGTAGTGCTGTACATTGTGTTGGCACAGTGTAGTGCTGTACATTGTGTTGGCACCCTGTAGTGCTGTACATTGTGTTGGCACCGTGTAGTGCTGTACATTGTGTGGGCACCGTGTAGTGCTGTACATTGTGTTGGCACCCTGTAGTGCTGTACATTGTGTTGGCACCGTGTAGTGCTGTACATTGTGTTGGCACCCTGTAGTGCTGTACATTGTGTTGGCACCCTGTAGTGCTGTACATTGTGTTGGCACTGTGTAGTGCTGTACATTGTGTGGGCACCGTGTAGTGCTGTATATTGTGTGGGCACCGTGTAGTGCTGTACATTGTGTTGGCACCCTGTAGTGCTGTACATTGTGTTGGCACCGTGTAGTGCTGTACATTGTGTGGGCACCGTGTAGTGCTGTACATTGTGTTGGCACCCTGTAGTGCTGTACATTGTGTTGGCACCCTGTAGTGCTGTACATTGTGTTGGCACAGTGTAGTGCTGTACATTGTGTTGGCACCCTGTAGTGCTGTACATTGTGTTGGCACCCTGTAGTGCTGTACATCGTGTGGGCACCCTGTAGTGCTGTACATCGTGTGGGCACCCTGTAGTGCTGTACATTGTGTTGGCACCGTGTAGTGCTGTACATTGTGTTGGCACCGTGTAGTGCTGTACATTGTGTTGGCACCCTGTAGTGCTGTACATTGTGTGGGCACCGTGTAGTGCTGTACATTGTGTTGGCACCCTGTAGTGCTGTACATTGTGTGGGCACCGTGTAGTGCTGTACATTGTGTGGGCACCCTGTAGTGCTGTACATTGTGTGGGCACCGTGTAGTGCTGTACATTGTGTTGGCACAAACCGGGTGTTATACAGTAAAATATGGATATAACAAACTACAAGGGACCAGAGAAATCAGTTCGTTATATCTGTTGTTCGTTATATACGTTTTCGCTCGGAAATGTCAGCAATCTTGGATAAAACAAAACACAAGACATGTAATTGCAGCATTGATTTGTATTAGCAGTGATCACTTCATAGCATTCAATTGATAACATTTTATAACATTCATTTAATAACATTAAATTCTTAACATTTTTCGAACATTGTTATGAAATTCCTCTTACTTTTGCCCGCAATGATAGCATATGCAAGTGAACTGACACTTGGACACAATCTCGTAAAATTGATATGTTTAATGTTTGTTTTACAGACAAGATTACATGTACAGGTAAGATTAACACAATGCAGTTTAGCAAGGTTGATCCGTCATCGCTGATTGTGTTGATTCGTGGTGATTGTGTTGATTAGTGGTGATTGTGGTGATTTGTGGTGATTGTGTTGATTCGTGGTGATTGTGTTGATTCGTGGTGATTGTTTTGATTCGCCGCTGATTGCATACAGCCAATTGTCAGTGACACTTGACACTGAGTGAGATTTCTTAGTTTGCTGTACACGTCACTAATAAGTGATAAATGGGCTTGTCGGTGATCAGATATCAGTTCGCTGTATCCGTAAGTTCGCTGTAGAGAGTTTGTTATATCATAAATTTTATATGATATTATATTGGAGATAAATCGGGGATTTTTTAACAGTTTGTTGTATCCGTTTGTTCGTTATGTCCGTGTTCGTTCTACTGTATATTGTTACAAAATATGACATAGTGGTTATTTGAGGACACAATCTCTTTTAGCAAGCTCCAGATATATATTTGTTACATTGTACATTTGAATGTTGTGTTTGTTGTTTGTTATATTAAACTGTAGGTATTGTTAAGAAATTGATCATTGTTGATTGCAATTTTGTTCCGAATATAATTTTCCTAGATACATTCAAAGTGTTTAAATGTCCAAGTGAAAGTGTTGAAATGACATGCTCTGTAATCCGATTCCAAAACAAAACAAAACTATTTGAGAGTGTGGCCTGATGTTACCGTCACCATGGTGCAGTGGTGCATGACAATTATTTTCATTTGGCTGACATGTACATCTATCTAGTGATGCTTAGCAGTTATAGGGATACGTCAGGAAGTGTTCATATTTCTGTTAATCATACAAAAATAACATTGCATACATTTTGAGTGTGTGAAATTACCTTTGATCTTGATATTGTGAATAATTAAGTGAACACTTAACAACTGCAATTAGTTTTTTATTACTAAAATCCTGGTTGGGTACCATACACCATCTGCTGACCTCTGTCCTGTTCCACACAATGAGTGCTTGTAAGAGATTAAAACTTGGGCTGGGACAAGTCCAAATTTATTACCCGGGTACCCGACACCCATAAACCGGCCCTACCTGGATACCCGCTATAGGTCACAAGAGTTGGGTACAAAATGTCCGAATGGGAATTGTTTTACCGCAGCCCTGGCAAAAACTATTTAGATACATGTTTTATACGATCTGATCATGTACACACTGCAGTTGATAGACGCTTTATCCTTACTCGAACATATAAAAGTCAGAACGAATACATGCCTGCATAGTGAGAAAGAAATGTGAACATTAACTATACTTGTAGTGTAACCATTGAGTTTTATTGTTAATGTCATTAAACAGTATGTCACGTGACTAACCATGGGTCCAGGTAGTCATGTGGGTACCCCGGTCGTACTCAGGACCCACCCTACCCGAGTTACCTGTCCCAGCCCAAATTAATACTCTGTGTAGACAACTGAAGGCATCTTCAATGTTGTTACTGATAAGGCATAAGTTGACAATTCAACGGATGAGCAGACAGAAAAACAACGTGATGCCATAATGAAGTCAGAGGTGGAAGCAGGCAGCCATTTGGGTTAATGATTTTGCTTGTCTTTTTTTATCGCATGTTTTACAGTTTTTTTGTTAAGTGTGAACGAAGGTATTAAAATTAGTGAAGTTTCTATGTTGAGTTTACTGGCCACAAAATTTGTGTAACCGACTATGACCGAATATAGGCGGGCTTGTTGTTACATGGCCTCCAACAGAGACCATATCTATAGAGCCTCTATATAAAAAGCCCCCACCTCTACTGTATTTACTTTGAAATTGATAGACAATACCATTGTGCAAATTTACCTCATGTATGCACTGATTTTGCTGTTTCCATACCATTTTTGCATTAACAAGTTTCAGTTCATCAGATTCTGCAAAGTTGTACCTTAAGTGGCTGTTGAATGTTTATGTGGCTGATCCCGTTAGTCACCTCTTCCGGCAAACATGGTCACCACTTACGACCAACTTGGTGTGATGAAAATCCATTTAACCCAGCTCTTCACGAGTCTGGCACATTTTGTAGTGAATGTTTGTTTAGAACAATGACATTTGTCTGCAATTAAAACACAAATTGACACAACAGAAGGTAACGAGCATAACGCCATGAAAAACTGAATCTTACGACAAGCATAGTTGCCTTTTACAGGAAACATGGGTTACTGAAGACCTATTCTAATATTCAATATTAGTGGGTGATTGATTGTAGTTTTTAGCCAGTGTCAGCAATATTACACATGTTCACAGCAGTGTGAAAGTACTTGAGTCTGGACCAGGGTATGACAACACACAATCAGCTTGGTCACTCACTCTGAAGTGATTGATCCTTGTTTGAAAGTTCATAACCTTTGGCCAAACATTTTTTGGTTACTTGGATGATGGGTCTTCCAGCCCAGATTTATTACAGCTGTGGAGAATTATTTTTGTAGCAAGTAATTTGACAATTTTGGGTTGTGTGCACTGACTGTAGTTAAACATGCTTTGAGTAAGTGAACCCTAGTAGTTCACTGTAATGTTTGCATTATTTTGAGGCAAGTAAATGAAACATAACTAATTTCCACCTTTGCAGCTGTCCCAATTAATGCTTTCTATTTTTTATCTCCAAACCTGGTGAACTAAGTAATAAAAAATGGCTGGCCAAATGGACAAGAAGTTGATGGAATTTCTTGATTTCTAGTTCACTCAAATTTCAAAACCAGAAAGCCTTGCTTAGCTTGTTGTCAGCTCTGTTGCATGGTGTGTAGCAGTGATCACTGTACATCGCTGGTTCTTGTTCACAGGGCATGTATGTATATACCATATATTAGAGTAGAGTAGAGACCATGTGGTGGAAAACGTGCCAGGTCAGTAACCTTGACCAAGGTTTTTTGAAAGTATATTGCAAGAACTCTGATCTTTAAGCAAGGGCCTATGGAAGTCACTAGCCTATATATGCAGGCTGATATGTACATTGAAAGAAATCTGTGTTATGTGATGAGACAAGTGTTATTGTCTCTCACTGACAACTTCGAGTTCAACTAGTATCATGTTGATAAATTACTCATTATTCAGCATGCCTCATGATCAATCAAAACCAACCAAGTGTGATATATCACAGTCAATATACTAATACTTATTCATAGGCAGCTTATTGTATTAGATGAGCTCTGTAAGTGAAGGGGCAGACTGTAGTGTTCAGGGAATGTTCAGTGCAATCACTCACTAGGTTCTGCCTCCATACAGATGATGCTTTGACTGTTTATCTATATATAATACTCACACTGGCAATGAACCTCAACAATAATGTATGCTGTTGGGCGATTTCATTACTCAGTTTTGCAAAAAATGGGATATTCATATTCCCTGAGCAAAGGCTTTAAGTTGCTGTACCAATTATAATTGGAGGCCTTGATTTTGTTAGCTCACCTGAGTCGAAGTGAGCTAATGTTGTGACCTGGATGTCCCACCATCCATCATCCATCATAGTCATCTGCACCGATGAAGCAGAAACTTCATGTGCTTGTCCACACCAGTGATGAGACTCCAATATTTGTTCAGGAGGTTCTGATCCTAACTTCAATATGGCCATAATGTCAGCCCTATTGGAAACCCTGTTTGTGGGGACCATTCAGTCGTGCGTGTCAATATGTTTCATTCTTGATTTAACCTTTCCCTAAGAAACTGCTGGACCAATGAAGATAAAACTTGCCAAGCTTGTTCCCACCTATCATAATGCCTAAAAAATCAGATCCGTTTTAAATCCAATTTTCAATATGGCCATCATGGAAGTCATAACATGTTTTGTGTAGGATTAACGAAGTATGACAGGTATTTAACTTTGTTGGACATGGAATCTGTGTAACCAAATTTGCATTCATGATATGAACTGATATGTAAATAAAAATCTAAATAAGCATAATATGCTTCTTTAAAAAATAAAATTTGATGTAAAGTGTTGTTGCAAATAAAGCATTATGGAAATGTTTTGCAAATGAAGCATTGTGGAAATGTTTCATATTAATCAAATGATCTTCATTACTTTTGGAGAAGACATTTAGATATCACTTCTGACAGCTACTGTTTAGTGTCTTTTTAACTGTCGACTGTTGACATACAGGGGATCTACAGTGCCATGGCACAATTCATCAAAAGAAAAACTTTTATGCAGTGCATATTCTGGCCTCATTCAAAGTTAAGTCATTAAAACATTTTCACTTCAATCTAAGTTTCGACTGATCTGGTTACTGTTGCATGTCCATTACTCAGCCACAGATTGTCTTGGTTTTGTCTTGGCAATTGATCTTCAATCATTTTGTAATGCTATTAAAGGTTTGGACCCAATGTGTAAAAAAATCAGTTTGGTAATGTTCTTTTCCTCATCAGTTTAGATAACTACTACAGAAGTGTAAAATCTGAGAAATATGAAACTGACGGAGCACTTCTTTGATATATTCACTTGTAGTATTTCATTTCATAATGGCAATGCCAAACATCCCTTTCACAGAGTTGGTAAAGTAACACATGAAATGTAGAAAACCTGATCTATTTTCAGGCAGTTGAAGCACTGGAACAATGACTAGAAACAATGAATGTCTTATGAAAATCTACCTCAGCCTATGGTATGCGTTCACATATCTGATGTATCTCTGGTGGTATATGAAACACGCTATGATTGGTTGTGATTAAATAGATGAACTAAGGATAATTATAAATAATAATAATAATAATACTTATTTTCATGTACAAGAATTGAAATCTTACCATGTAGTTTATTCAGGGTATATACTTCTCCTTAAAAGGGAATTCATAGAACACATAGTTCAAATTCAGGTTCTTTGGATGATAGGTAAAAAAATGTTTAGTGTTCTGTTTTTATATTGTTTAACTTATTCGGTTGTTTCATATGGACCTATACGGTTAAAATATAAGCAGTTTACAATATTGTTTTCGGGGATAGTTCAGAAGCAATGCAGGTGTACACTATCCCATATAGCTGTTACTACTCTCCAAGGGATAATCATTTCTTGGCACATTCATTGTAAATGTGCAGCTTGTTGGTCCTTTTATGTGTAGAGGTCTATTTTGCTTCACCTAGAGTATAATACACATTATATTTTTATAATTGTCATTGTCATGTCATCTATGTCAATAAAGTTTTCTTCTGCCGAGTCTTTCACGTTTCCTTCAGCAAATTTGTATCATAACAATCTCAATGTGAGTTATAATGTATAGTGGTCAACCTAAGTGAGTGAGTGAGTGAGTTGGGTTTAACGCCGCTTTTTAGAGTATTACAGTTATATCACGGCGTGTCAGCTTAATGTGGGAGGAAAACCCGAAGTGATGCAGGTCTTAGACGTTTACCACTTCGGTGAAACCCACGAGCACGGGTATGGTGCTGACATACCTAGAAACATAATCGGGGTGAACCTGGATTCGAACCCACAATCATAGGTTTCTGGCATGCCCAAGCGACGCAAATCTGCACAGCGAATCGCGGCCCCTTAGACGACTAGGCCACCCGTGCCCCCAGGTCAACCTAAGATTCAAGTGAGCTCATGCAATGACACTGTGCCTTTTGTCTGTTTGTCTTCCAAATTCAAAATGTCCTTACAAGTCAAATATTGAGAAACCATCAGACCCAGGGAGATGAAACTGTACTGTGAAAAAAGGACGGTATAACCAGGGAGGGTGTGAGAACTTAACAGTGTCCACCATTAGCTTTAAGGACTGCCTGGAGTATGTATCACATACCTAGGAATGCTTGCCCAAATCTGGCAATTAAGATGAGGATAGACATTGTACCAAGGCAAGGGAGTTAAGCGACTGTAAAAGTCCACTTTCCACCCTTGCCGAACTAGGCTGGAATTCCGGAGTTACAGTTTGGCTTGACTAATGAGTCTATGCATAGTCAAATCGAAATCAAGCAACGAACTAGACATCCGATTCATAAACAACATGGAATTCACGCAGATTTCGATCGACTGTAGGCTTTTCAAAACATGGATACCGTCAACTGGGCGTCGACACATAGTTTCCAAATCTTTTCATGTTGTTAATCAAGGTGCTCAAACGATTTGATGCACGACGTGAGGTAAGACCCATTTTATTACAATATGTGTCTTGATTATCGATAAGATCGTCTTGACTGGCGCCGCAATTTTTTTTGAAGCAAATGGGGTCAGTAGTTGGGATATAGAAAACTCATTACTGGTTGCACTATGATCGAGGCACGAAATTCCAGCTTCGTTCAGCAAGAATGGAAACTGGACTTTTGCAGTCAGTTAACTCCCTTGCCTCTTGAAGATGAAGGATATTGTGTTGTTTGAGGTCTCGCATTTTTGTGTTAAAAGTGGGTTCATTGTGGGAACATAGTGCAGCTGTACGATTTCACCACTGGCGTTCGACCGTTGAACTTGCGTCAGGTTTTGTTCTACCTGGGGGGGCTCTCGCTCACATTGTGCTGTCACCAAATAATTTGTCAATTCTCGCTGGTAAGGCAACACTCCTCTTTCTTGACTCAAATGTCATCGCACTGACAACACCTCTTACATACTCTATGAGACCTTCCTCGGAATGATGAAGGGAGAAGGTATACCAGCTGTACAGTTGGTAGAATATCTAAAGATATCAAGATACATGTCTACTAATTATGAAATACTAGTTTATATTTTAAACTATTATAATTACCAATCAATGCATTACCTTAATGCATCTAATTCATAAAACTGAATACACAGACATGTTTACAAGGTACATAATTATGAACCACACACAAACTGACCTTATTATAGAGATCCTGAGCATGACACTTGGTTTCCAGAAAATACAAAATTAACCATCAGCTGATTCAAGTACAACGATAGGAACACAACTGATCTCTCAAATGTAACTGACCAACTGATTTAGCTAAAACAAGAAAAGTTTACACTTACAAGAAGCTGGAAAGGGAAGAAAATGCAAGATGCTTGTGCTGTTGGTGACTAGAGAAAGTGGCTATTGTTATGTTAGTATTTATATGAGTGCTGGAGCTAGTCTAATTGTTTCTTTTATACTGCTCAAGTATTCTTGCTTGAGACACAAACTTGCAGAAACAGAAACAAGACAACAAAAAGACTTTACTAAAATATTTTCAAAATAGCATTAAAATCAACTTGGCCACATACTATCCCCTCCCAAATAATGACGTCCTCGTCCTTCAATGCTACCATCAACAATCAAAATAAATGCACTAGATAAATGTTCCAAAACGCCACTGGAAACATGTTCCTGGATAGTCCGAGATCTCCTCTCCCTGTCTTGGTCTGGGATCTGGTGACTCATCAGGTATTTTCCTGATGTCATCCAAGGGAGCTTCCTCGTTGATCTTCTGGAACGACTGGCTGCTGTCGGTGGGGTAAGGTAGAGTTGAGAGTGACTTCTGCAAGTGGCTCGGCAGTTTCTTCAGTGGCTTCTATCAATTCAACTGCAGCTGGCGCCTGATTGTCCTCTATTCTGAGTGCCGTTGATGTCTCAGATTGGTCCTGTTAAGTTCCATGACCGCATTCTTCATCCGGTTTTTCACCTTTGTCACCTTGTTCTTCTGATAACTCGGACGAGTGGTCGTCAACACCAGAAGAAGGTCTCACTGCCACAAGAAGTCCGTGATCGTTACCAGTTTCGTCTTTCGGTAGAATCCTCCATTCTGTCAGCAGCTTCACTGTTTATGGCTGTTGAGTCATGATCTTCTGCTGTCTCCTGGAATGTCCGAACAGGCACTAAACACAATTCTCTGTCCTCTGAATCGTCTGTCACATCACCTGTTGTCGTCTAGTTGTTGTCTTTCTCTTTGTTGTTCTCTTTGTTTACATCGTCTTGATAGAAGATGGTTCCCGTGTAAGGTTCATTTCTTCCTTCTGTGTCCACCTTCTGGACCACAAACACTGGAATGGCAGGATTTGGTTGCCTGAGAACCATATATACATCTTCTTCCCGACAATCTGCGAGTTTATGCTTCTAAACAAAAGCCAAGATCTTAACTAGGACTCATCTTACTTTCATGTCGTAGTTAACCTTTTGATGATCCTTGGAGGTCTCAGATGCTTCAGCAGCTCGTTGGTAGGCTTGTCGGAGACGTTCCTTCAGAGACTTGGTATATTGAAATGAAGACTTCTTCTGTTGTTTAAGCTCAAGCCCAAACCCAGGTCGATGGGAAGTCTTGGTTCACGTCCGAACATCAGAAAGAAAGGAGTCTGGGCTGTGGATTCATGATGAATACAGTTATATGCATGAACTAGTGGTCCAACATGATTCTTCCCGTCTCTCTTCTGGTCAGGTGCTAGAGTCCCAAGTATGTCACAGAGTGTTCTGTTGAATCTCTCGCACAAGCCATTTCCTATCGGATGGTAAGGAGTTGTTCTGGATTTCTTGATGTTTAAAATATCACAGAGTTCCTTCACTAGCTTGCCTTCAAAGATTGCACCTTGGTTTGTGTGAAGTCGTTGGGGCATACCATAATGCTGAACAAAGTTCTTGTAAAAGGCTTCAGCGGTGGTCTTGGCTGTTTGATTCCTTGTTGGTATTGCCATGGCATATCTAGTAAAATGATCTGTGATAACCAAAATGCTGTCATATCCTCATGATAATTCCAGAGATCATAAATCCATACAAACTCACTCAAGTGGCTGGGTAGTCTGTATGCATCCATTCTTCGGTGTATCTCAGCATGCCAGGCCAGAAAAGATTGTCTCTTAGTAAGGAACGAGTCCGGTCCCATCCTGGATGACCCACTGTAAAACAGCAGCTGAATGTAATGCAGAATTACAAACACACTGACTTGTGTAAAAGTGAGGAAGAAGCAAGGGGGGGGGGGGGGGGGGGGGGGTTACATATGGGACACTTACATATTTACATAATTAGTGTACCTAAAACATGTGGGGTAGTGGCATTTTGTTGAGTGTGGCATTAAACAACAAACAAAGAAACATGACTAAAAGGACCCCTTGATTAGGGTGGTGCGTGTCATCATCCCCGGTGACGTTCATCGCAGCTTCTGCTTTCAGTCACTGGTTTCCCTGCTCCAGATTCGATTATTTCCAGGCCGCCGTGGATTGGGTCACTATTTCAATTATATTACAATGTGTCAGATTAACGTGAGAGGAAAGCCCGAAATGTACTGTAGTTATGAGACGTAAAACCACAAAAGCAAGAATCATGTTGACAAACCAGAGATCATAATCGGGGTGAATCTGGGATTAGAACCCACAAACTAAAGAACGTGATTCACTCACTCTCAGTGCACACCACATCCTGTTGGAGAGTAATACCGGGGAGTTCATCGGACCAATGTGAACATATCTTCCCGAGGCAAGAGAGTTAACTGACTTTAGGACCCCTGAAGATTCCGGGGTAGAATAGGTCTTCAGCAACCCATGCTTGCCGTAAAAGGCCACTTTGCTTGTGGTAAAAGGCGACTAACGTGATCGGGTGGTCAGGCTTGCTGACTTGGTTTGATGCATGTCATCGATCCCAATTGCGTTGATCGATGCTCACGTTATCAATCACTGGATTGTCTGGTCCAGAATCGATTATTTACAGACCGCCGTCATATAGCTGGAATATTGCTTGGTGCGGCGTTAAACAACAAACAAAGAAACAAATAACTGACTTTAGAAGTCAAGTTTCCACCCTTGCCGAACTCTACTGGAAGTTCTGGGCTCGGGGTAGCGTCACTATTGGCTGTACGAGTTATGTCCCCCTTACTGACCAATCAGATTCCACCTCTGATGTCACTTGCATTTGGTCTCAGACAACAAATAATTTCCTTCTTTGATATCTACAGTGACATGACAGCCCACTATAATTATTATCGGTCGTAGGCCGTTCTCCTGTTGCATGCTGACCAACCTGCCACTTGTCACTAAAAACGCAAAGTCTCGGCCTGCATTCACCAGCTACCTTTCGCAGTAACCACTGTCAACAGTGCTCACCGGAAGTTTCGAGCCAAAACACACAGAGCAGCCTTCAACATGGGGTCAAGTTGTGGGAAGCTAGAATCAATACCTTGTAAGATTGTGGCTAACAAAAAAATGGCAACATACTACAATCTAATCTTTCATTGAAGCTATCACAAGACACGCCAAATGGAATGTGCTTCGGCAGATAACTTAGACTGGTTTTCTTGTATTGACGATTTATATTTCTCCGGTATGAAATATCCTCTTGCTTCATCCCAAGACCTGACACAAATATCATGCAACGGACTTTAACAGACTGTAAAAATGATATGTCAAACAAACTAAAACACTTCCTATGTCCGCAGGGAATGTAACATGAAACCCATGTTTTACAAATGAATGTATCTACTTAGAGACGTTAAGAGATGAAACTTCTTGTTACCCTGTTTTCACTCGACAGTGAAAGGCTTAAGAAGGACTGGTCAGCAAGGAGTCAGCATACTGAGTGGGTATTCATGTTAAACTGCGGCATATTTTCGGACTAGTACGCCCAGCCACACACCCACGTGCACCCACGCTGCTATTAAAGTGAAATAATCTTGAACGAGACGTTAAACCACATTACACTTCACCTCACAAGGAATCTCATTATCACGTTATCTAGATGGTTATTGGAACTTTAAATAATCCATTATTAGTTAAGCATGTGGTCCCATTACCTCATTGTATTTACCTTGACGAACTCTACGTGACAAAAATGGGTCACGGCATTAACCTATTAAATGGTTGTGCAGTTTGATGACGTAGGGAATTCAAAGAACGATCTTTTCCATTCAGTATGATAATTGCGTGGTTCAAAATCGCCGTGAAACAGTGAAACCTCGCAAAAACTATGGTTCTTGTGAGGAACAATAACCATGTGTCTATTGCTGATGCAACTGAAGAGATGAAAATTGGGACTGTCGCGGATGGTGTGTTTCAGTATCCTAGTGATGTGTTTCCAGTGAGACGTTATCGTGGACAAAATGAGGACACGAGCGTCCCAAGTTCATCAACTCATAACCATGGGCAAGTCACCAGAAACAGTGAGATACTTTCACAACCACAGAAATCTCCTTTAACATATTCAGATGCAACCTGTCTGTTGAGTGGGTTTTTCGTCTTCACTATAGCTTCCGGTATGGTAAACACGTATGGTGTGCTGTATACGTACATGCTGCCGGCAATGGACGTGAGCGAGTACCAGCTCAGCTGGCTGGGTGCTGTCATGAGTGGAGTGAACGGCCTTTCTGGTATGTAGACTTTATATCCACAAGAGATATCATTATTGAGGTTCAGATTATGTCTCTATTGGTTTTCTCATTATTCAAGTGAATGAGTGACTATTTCCAAGAGTAATAAAGGATTATGTTTGTTTGTTTGTCTTTTGTTTAACCCCGCACCCAGCAATATTCCAGCTGTATGACGGCTGCATGTAAATAATCGAGTCTGGACCAGACAATCCAGTGATTGGCATCATGAGTATCGATCTACACAATTGGGATACGATGACATTCATTAGCCAAGTCGAGTCGAGTCCGGCGCCATTAGTCGCCTCTTACGACAAGCATAGTGGCCTTCATCTTCCCGAGGCAAAGGTGTTGACTGACTACAAAAGTCCAGTTTCCGCGTTGAATGTCGTCATGCCACCAGTGCGATCTGCTTGATAATCAAGATCTATATTGTAATAGAACGGGTCTTTGCTCGTGAAGTGCGTCAATTTAAAAGCATGAAATATATTTGGAAAATATCTGTCGACACCCAGTTGACGGTACATGCGCTTTGCAAATCCAGCAGTCGATCGAAATCTGCACTTGAAATCCATGTCGTTAGTCAAGCCAAAATGTAACTCCAAAATTCCATCTATCGTTTGGCAAGTGTGGAAACTGGACCTGTACAGTCCGTCAACTCCCTTGGTAAGAAGAGTGGCCTTTATCTCGCATGGGTTGGGAAACACCTATGCTTAGATTTCAACAGTAACATAGTAATGGATTTGTCTCTTAGTTTTTTCTGTGGTTAATTCCAATGTATGGATTACAAAGACTAGGTTATTTACCTTTTATTTTGGACCTGATGTTTGTTGTGAGTGAGAGGTATTATTACCCGAGGGTCCTTGGATTTTCTAGAGTGGTCCAACATGGAAACACCTGATATTCTTCAATTTTGATATAACGGCCCGCACGTTACCAGGAAAAGTGCGGGCAGATGACATTTGATAATGCCCTCATTTGCCTCTGTCTATCGTCGGGCAAGTAATGGCGGACCTCGAGCTTCTGCAAATCATAATGCTTTGATCAATTAACGTTACCCTTTTATCATTAACCTGGCGTGTTGCCGGTGCAATGCACACCATTATATTGCCTACATAATTTCTTGAGTCTTGTGGTGCAAATCTGATGAGAGAGCCACAGTGACGCTGGGGACGGGGGCCACCAATCACACCAGATCCCAGACCTGACTGTTTACAACTATTCTCAGAAGCTAGGCATTTGATACTCGGGATACCCCGAATTTACTTTCCTAATGTCTTACTGGTGACCATTTAGTTGCATCCGCAACCTGTTAAGACTCCTCGAGCCTTGATGGTTTCTAAATAGAAAACGGTTCCCATTTCCACAATCTGTGTATGTTCAAACTAATCGAAAGAATGTTTAATTGTTTACTGTTATGTTTCTTTTACAATTATCGTATTATCCTTGTCCAACTCTTAATAAAGAAGTGCAAAGCCCTTGTCAACCTGAGATCAAACATGCCAACCTTCTACATTACCAACCCGTTCCTGATACAGTTTACACATTGGCCTGAAACAGCCTTCTTGTCCAGATGATTTACAAGCCCCGGTGACATAGCAACAATATTGCTGGCAAAACCACCTTTATTTATTTTGTAATAAGTTAAATACCAGCTTACTTATCAATAAGTATTCTCTCGAATGAATATGTATTTGCAGCTATCTTGGCTGCTGTGCTGACAGACAACTTTGGATGTGGTGTGACAGCATCAGTTGGGGCGATTCTCTTGTCTTCAGGCATCTTAAGCAGCAGTCAAACAACAAACATATACGCCCTGTACATGCTGCTGGGAGCCATGCCAGGTGGGTTCTGCATAACGCCACATTCACATCCGTTCTGTCACGAAGACTCAATTGCGAATACTTAGGAGGAGATACTTGAAGCAGTGCTGAAGTGTTTAGGCACTACATGAATAGCTTTTGGAAACGTCATCAAAACTTTCAAAATGTAGACGAAATATCTATAAAACAGTTTTCATTGCAATCAAAAGCACCAACAGTCCTATCACTGCCTTCTCCTGAATGCCAAAGTGTTTGCCTTTTTGACCTTGTAATTTCTGTTTCCATTCAGGTCTGGGGTACTCGTTGCTGTATATATGCTTACTAGTACAAGTTAATCAACATTTCACCACTCGGCGCCCTTTGGCAGTGGGACTTGTTGCAAGTGGAACTGGCGTGGGTCGCCTGTGCTGTCCGTTACTGGTGGCAGCGCTGGCGGAGGAATATGGTTGGCAGGGGGCACTCCTCATACTTGGTGGAGTGTGTCTGAACCTTCTTGCTTGTTGTCTCTTGATGCAAACAAAACGAGGAAAGGCTACAGGTCTTGTATAATTTTATTTTTTAGTGCTGACAAAATATAACTATTCACGTATCTTCTTAAATATATTATTTTTATATCATACAAACATTTATTTGTATATACGAAATTATTAAATTGGTTTACCCTCGCATAACCTTGATTCATGGATATGAGGGAAGTGCACCAAATTCGTGGTTTTATTAAACGATTTCATTTTGTATACTCACTGATCAATTTATTCATCTATTCAACTATAAAACTGCAGAAGATTCCACTCCTGTATTAATGGTGTTGTTGTTCTAATCTTAAATACTTTTTGTAGGGAATTATTCAGAAAATGTCACAAGAGACTAATCACAATTTTATTTACAAGAACAGAAAAACAATATAGTTTAGGGTGCCACAGAAAGTCGGGACAACCCTCTGTTAAACAATGCAAAGAATATGATTTCGCTAATGATACGTAATGGGATGTACCCGACAATTAACGAATGGCTAGACAGAGGGGAATACTTCATCTTGTTCATTTGACTGGCACTAATCTTGTTGAAATATTTGCTTGATGTTTGGAAAGATATTATGATACCACAATAGGCGGCGGGCTTGCATGGGTGCCAAGTCTTAACGAGCCTAAACTAAATGAAATTTCCTTCGGTTGGACATTGAATTTGACTGAAATTGATTTCTCTTGAAGGTAAAGCCATATATAAAGGGAGGTTATTCAGGGTAGAGGGTGCAACCGTGAGGGGTATATATAGGAATTGTAAAGCCTGGGTAGTTCAATCTCTCCTCTGGTGTCGCCGTTACAGTGTCGTTATATTTCGTATTAACTTTGCCACGTGTTCTTTCGCCATTTTGTTATGGAGCTATCTGAAGATATAAACAAGAAACTTGATGATATTCTGCAGCAGTTATCTACATGTCGAGAAGAAGTTGACAGGTCTGTTGAAGACAAACTTGTTAATTTACAAGATAACATGTCTTGAACAACAGCAGAAATTCAGAAACTCAAAACTGAAAGAGATTTCGTATGGAATCGGGAAGGGCACTGGCTTCAGTATAATTTCAATTCACAGACCCTTGTACATCTGAAACAAATGAAATTTGCTATTTCTTACTCAAAATTTGACCATTTGCAAGATCTACTTTGCGCGGAGGTCTTGCGCATTGAGCGTAGAAATAAGCTGATTAAGCTTGCCGACTCATCAGATGGAGGTTGGCAGACTGTTCGCCAATATGACTGTAATGATCTTGCTGATGATTCTGGCGATGATCGGCGTATTTCCAGAGTGGAATCCAGAGCTATCAAGAAAATGGACAAAAAGAAATCAAAATCATCAAGATATGCCCCATATAAGTTTTTCAGACCGACAGCAATTGTCAAGCAGGCTACAGTTTGGGGCAGGGCTTATCAGCGGGACCATCTCAAGGACGTCTTTTTCGCAGGAGAATTAAACACGACACATGTTTTGCGTGCGGAGACCTCAGCCGCTGGAGACGAGACTGTCCATATGTCAACTCTAACACAGTCACGCGGACAAGTCGACCAGGAAGCAAGACCACAGTCTCAGAGTAAACAAGGTAAAGTTGAACTTACAAACGATTATTATGAATATGAGAGTGGAAATGCTTAAACTTTAGTGAGGGGTCGTCAAGGATTGCATACAGTTTTGGCGTGACATTGGTTCTACTCAATTTGTGATTGATGTTATTGTAAGTGGATACAAGATACCATTTTACTCTTCTCCAACACCTATGGAATTAAAAAACAACATGTCGGCGTTGCAGCATTCTGATTTTGTTTATGAAACTATTACAGATCTTGTCCGGGGAAAAAAATTAGTGGAGGAATGTGAGAAGAGGCCTCGTGTTGTTAATCCGTTATGTTATCGGTGTCTATTCCATCTGCTGGAAAGAAAAGATTAATTCTTGACTTGTCTGTGGTGAAGAAACATGTGTTTAAACTTTCAGTCAAATATGTAAACTGGAAAACCGCTCTTATGCATATCAAAGCTGGTGATTGGTTAGTTAAATACGATATACATTCCGCGTACCATCATATTGAAATGCATACTCCACATACAACTTTTCCTGGCTTTTCATGGGTTTGGCCATGGGGCAGGAGGTATTACAAGTTTGTGGTTTTACCATTTGGTGTATCATCTACGCCCTATGTCTTTACAAAGGTAACCCGACAATTGGTAAAATGTGGGCGTTACCTCGGTTACAAGAACGTGATGTTTCTTGACAATGGAATTATTGTTGAAAATTCTATGTCAACTTGTGCTGTTATATCAGATAGGGTTACAGATGACCTCATAAGTTCTGGATTTGTACCTAAAGTTGAAAAGTCTTTATGGACGCCTTCACAAAGTTTGGAATGGCTAGGATTTCACGTGAACACTTTACATTTTACTTTAGCTATACCGGAAAGGAAGTTAGAGAAGGTTTCCATTTGCATCACATCTCTCTTAGTCCGTACCATTTGGTCTGTGTATGTTCGTGATGTATCTTCACTTGTTGGTCAAATTATTACTATGAAACCAGTCATTGGTTCAGTTAGTCAACTTACGACGAGGTCACTCAGTATTGATTGTCTGACGGCTAACTCGTTGAATGACTGGATTGTTTTGTAAGCTCAAAGTAAGGAACAGTTAGTGTTCTGGCGGGACAATATTCAACATTTCAAGTCCAGATCGTTGTGTTCAGACAGTTCCCCTACCAGGGTTGTTTATAGCGATGCAAGTCTTGTATGTTACGGTGGCTGCTGTATTCAGTTTGGTGGAAGGTCGTCACATGGACAGTGGTCCCAAAGTGAAATGAATCAAAGTTCAACATGGCGGGAGTTGAAGGCTGTATCTATGGTACTGACAAGTTTTCTGTTTTTACTGGGTTCTCACTTAATCAAGTGGTGTACGGATAATACCAATGTATGTGCTATTATTAAAAAGGGTAGCATGAAGACACACTTACAAACTCTTGCATTAATTATCTGTCAGTTGTGTTTGAGATCCTGTATACGTTTGATAGTAGACTGGATTCCCCGAGAACAAAATGATCAAGCAGATTTTCTGAGCAAGCTCACTGATAGAGATGACTGGGCAGTTGCAGACTGTGTTTTTTTGTGTACTCTATGAAACATGGAGACTACATTCAATAGATCGTTTTGCTTTTTACTACAAGAAGAAGATCAATCGTTTCGATTCTGGTTACTGGAACCTTACTTCTGAGAATGTGGATACTTTTACTTCAGATTGGAGTAATGAGGTGAAGTGGATAGTACCACCGGTGTATCTGGTCTCTCGTGTGTTGTGCCATATGCACAAATACAGAGCAAAGGGTACTTTGGTTGTACCTCAGTGGTACACAGCGAGTTTCTGCCCTTAATTTCTCAGGTAATTTCTCAAAGAAGTCAGAAACTTTGTTTATTTGCCGTCTTGCAATGAAGCTTATGTTCCCAGCCGTATTGGGGGAGGTTTATATGGTGAAACTGATTTAAAATTTTCAATGTTAGCGTTGAAAATCGATTTCAGTGATTGAAATGCTCTCTTCTGTTTCAGATATGTTAGACAGTGTATATCATGATGTTACATCTGCCGCCCCCCCCCCCCCCACCCCCCCCACCCCACCCCCCCACCCCCACCCCCACCCCACACCCCCACCCCACACCCCCCCCAGAAAGTTTAAAAAGGGTAGCATGAAGACACACTTACAAACTCTTGCATTAATTATCTGTCAGTTGTGTTTGAGATCCTGTATACGTTTGATAGTAGACTGGATTCCCCGAGAACAAAATGATCAAGCAGATTTTCTGAGCAAGCTCACTGATAGAGATGACTGGGCAGTTGCAGACTGTGTTTTTTTGTGTACTCTATGAAACATGGAGACTACATTCAATAGATCGTTTTGCTTTTTACTACAAGAAGAAGATCAATCGTTTCGATTCTGGTTACTGGAACCTTACTTCTGAGAATGTGGATACTTTTACTTCAGATTGGAGTAATGAGGTGAAGTGGATAGTACCACCGGTGTATCTGGTCTCTCGTGTGTTGTGCCATATGCACAAATACAGAGCAAAGGGTACTTTGGTTGTACCTCAGTGGTACACAGCGAGTTTCTGCCCTTAATTTCTCAGGTAATTTCTCAAAGAAGTCAGAAACTTTGTTTATTTGCCGTCTTGCAAAGAAGCTTATGTTCCCAGCCGTATTGGGGGAGGTTTATATGGTGAAACTGATTTAAAATTTTCAATGTTAGCGTTGAAAATCGATTTCAGTGATTGAAATGCTCTCTTCTGTTTCAGATATGTTAGACAGTGTATATCATGATGTTACATCTGCCGCCCCCCCCCCCTCACCCCCCCACCACCACCACACACACCCCCCCCCCCACCCCCACCCCCCCCACCCCCCACCCCCCCAGAAAGTTTAAAACCGAACGTACAAGGTTTGAGCATATTATCAAATGTGGCTAGATCAGCCACTTCAGTGAGATCATACAACTTGGGATTCAAGAGATTTTTTGATTGGGCAGATTCGCGTGGTTGGCAGACTTTATTGCCAATTCCACCTATGCACTGCACACCATATTTGGTATCTTTAATACAAAGTTGTGAAAGTATTTCTCCTGTCAATACAGCTTTTACAGCATTCGATATGCTCATGTTCTTGATGGGTTACAGAGTCCCACAGATAATACTGGTAAGAATTGTATTGGAGGTTGGTAAGCGGAGGTTAGCTAAACCAGTTAACAAAAAGGAACCGATAACAATATCGCAACTTAGTTGTATAGTATCGTCTCTAGAAAGTGAGAAATGCTTAGAAGACAGCAGAATTGCTGCAATTTAGTTCCTTTTGCAGGTTTTCTTTGATCAGTTGAATTATTGCACATTGCACGTTCAGATATCATGTGTTGTGAACATTATATGTCTATATCTATTGAACAGTCCAAGACGGACGTGTATCGAGATGGTGCATGGGTAGTCATAGGCGTATCTGATTCACTGCTATGTCCTGTTATGCACTTGCAACGTTATTTAACGATGGCAGAGATTGCCGAGGATTCTCAGGAATATGTGTTCAGAGCACTAAGTCCTGTTAATGGTAAATATGTTCTGAGAAAAGAAAACAAGCCACTGACTTATACAAGACTCCGTGAAATATCTTTTAACTTTGTCACCTTTTGTCCGTGATGTGTCAAGATATCGCCTGCACAGTTTGAGGTCAGGTGGTGTTTCAGCAGCAGCGGCAGCAAACAATCGTGTTAAGAGACACGGGCGCTGCAAGAGCGAGAATGCCAAAGATGGGTATATCAGTGACAGTGTTAAAGCCAGATTAATCATTGGGTTTGTAATATAGGTTGTTTTCCTGTAATCCCTTTCTTTGTTTCTCATGCAGCGTAAATGCCACAGGGGAAACCACATAGTGTGTTTGTTGTTTATATTTGGCTTGACGAGGTTTTGGAAGAGAGTTAGCTTAATGTTATATATATACTCTTCAAAAAAGGAACTTGACACTGACTTTCAAAATGTAATATAATGCCATTGTTTCAAAATGTAATATAATGCCATTGTTTCAAAATATGACACAGAAACCATGATTAAAACACTGTTTGAAGATCAATGTACACAATGTTCAAAACATTAATCGGGTCACCTAGACAGACACACGTACACGATACAGTTAATGTCACAGGGGTACAGAAAATGTCAGTATCGGTTGTGCCCACCACGTGCATCAATCACCGCTTGACACCGACGACCCACAGATGCAATCAAGTTGTCAAAAACACGCTGTTGGATGTGCTGCCATTCATGCTGAAGTGCATCAAGAAGCGCCGGAAGTGTTTGGGGCGGTGGATTCCTTCTGCGAACGCGTCGATCCAACTCGTCCCACAGATGCTCAATCGGGGACAAATCTGGTGACCGGGCTGGCCAAGGTCATGTCTGGATGTTGTTGTGCTGTAAGAAGTCCTGACAAACACGTGCAATATGCGGTCGAGCGTTGTCCTGCTGGAACTGTCCGCCATGAACGTTGACGTGAGGAAGAACGTAAGGCTGTAGGATCTAGTCTCTGTACCGCACACCTGTCAATGCACCTGCCACATGCACGAGAGGCGTCCTACCACCGTGATGAATTCCGGTCCATACCATGAAACTCCCGCCGCCAAATGGGACAACCTGCTGCACACAGTTGGGGGCGTAACGTTCACCCCGACGTCTGTAGACACGTGCGCGCCCATCAGCACGTGTGAGTAGGAAACGGGACTCATCAGTAAACAGTATATTTCTCCACCTTGCACGTGCCCATCTAACCCACTGTTGGCACCAAAGCAGACGGTCCGCCAGATGAAATGAGGCCAATACATGACGTCGAACAGGTCTTCGTGCAAAAAGTCCAGCCTCCTTCAGTCTGTTGCGTACCGTTTGATCTGATATTCTGCGTACCCCAGGGATCTGTGTGGTTGTAGACGTGGCTGTGGTAGTGCGGTCTCGGAGGTGTCGCAGCTGGTTGTATCGATCTTGTGCTTGGGTTGTCACCCTTGGTCTTCCTGACCTTGGTCTGCCGTCAACTCTGTTGGTGTTGTTGTATCGGGTCCACAGTGCGGAAATTGTCTGTCTGGATACGCCAAAGTGCCTGGCCACTTCTTGCTGAGTTGCTCCAGCTTGTAATCTCCCAATGGCGTTGTTCCGTTGAGCTGCATTCAGTCTTGGCATTCTGTCACCGCCTCTACTGCCGTTATAAGGACTGTATGAACAGCCGTTGATGTGGATTTTTATACCCATTCAGCAGGGGGGCCTGCATGCCTATATGCAGGATCCTGTGCTGCACGTTTTTTACAGGCGGTTGCGTTTGGATGAAGCTGTAAAATTGAACGCTACGTTTATGTGCTTTGCATGTGTTTTCGCGAATTATAGATACATCATCTTTCTGTTTGACTTTTTTGGTTCTTATTTACTGTAATTATTTTAGATATTTGGCAAAAAGTGGTTTTACATCTATGTCAAGTTTCTTTTTTTGAAGAGTATATAAGATACCTACGCGACAAAACGCAAAGAACAATGAAGAACGAAGCGTTGTTTATTTACACAATAACACATTGTTCGTTACGAAGTCATTTCTGGAGATTCGAACATTCACTTGCAACTTGACGACGTAAATTAAACATTATTTTTTGGAGGGAAGTTTCTTGTGAGTTGTTCCAAAAAGATGTATCTCAGCAACGCAGATAAACGCAATGGCCGAACGATCGCATCCCAAAGTGGGAGAGAAATGACAATCGGTACTGTGAAAAAGGTGCAGATAATGGACGTGAAAATTGTGAGAATATCCGTGAATTACCAAACTTAACCCCTGTTCATAAATGGACGAGGTCTGATTGTATTCAAGGAGTCATCATTATTTAAATACGGGTAAATATTGTTAAAACTTCTACATTTTATTAAGATCATTAAAGAGGCTGTACATAATGTTGATATCGCATATAAGAACTGAACGACGAGTGGGAATTGTTTATTGTACAAAAAAACACTGCAGGGAAAGTAAACCACGCAGGGCGCACACATTAACAGGTGATGACAGGTTAACTTACATAAATAGTTCAAGTCAATCTATTAAACTTTGTAGACATAACTTTTGTCTTATTGAATAGTATGTCTGGGAGATGGATTCTCATTACCTTAGGCTAGCGTTACCTCAGGCTAGTACAGTAAAGTACGTTTATAACGAATACGCTTATAACAAACTGGCGGATATAACGAACTGTTTTTTTGGTCCCGGACATTTGCTGTATATATGCTGTATTTACACTCTTCAAAAAAGAAACGCACACGTAGTATGTACTTCATTGAACCTGACTACACAAAAAATCCGGTATATAAATTGGATATATGTTATTGGAAAATGGTGGCCTAATATTTGACAAATGGCACGTCAAAATGCAGCCATTGTCGATTTGCAATTTCCTCAACGGCCTTGTTTTCACACTTGTTCAAAAAAGTCATGGAAGAAAACATTAAAGCAAAATGCACGTGCAAGTAATGATATTCGTAACTCGTGGTAGTGGCTATAAAAAGGTAAGCAGAAGTCAATAATTTGTCATTCAATTGTCAACATTTTTCAAGTTCGAAAATGCCAAGACTCAGCGCTTCCGATCGGAACATCGCCATAGGAGGTACCGAAAGAGGGGAATCGCAGTCTTCTGTTACATGCCACTTCAACGTCCACCACAGCACCATTTGCCGCCTTTCGGACCAATGCACATAGTTCAATTCCACTGCAGACCGTCCGAGAACCGGCCGACAAAGAGTTACCACCCCTGAACAGCATCGCTTCATTCGACTGGTAGATCTGACTTGGTAGTGGTTCAGCTCATGTGCCATCTCAACCCAATCGAACACCTCTGGGTTCGACTCGATCGACGTGTACGTCAACGTCAGAACACGCCGCAGACACTCCCACAAATGGCCAACGCGTTACAAACAAAATGGCGCAGAATTCCGCAGGACAATTTTCGTACACTTATCCAGCTAGTGCCAGGGAGATACAGAGCCGTGATTGCTGCCTGGGGCAGTCACACGAGACATTGAGTTCAGCGCCACCGTGTGGCCTTATGTGACATGACAATGAACAGTTTTCAATGCCTTTGTACGACAACATGTGACTATCGAGCTCCAAAATTTCATATTTGTATCTATGATATTAAATTAAATATATCGACTGTATTAGGTACAATAAATTTACTAAAAATCTACCTGTGCGTTTCTGTTTCTGGAGAGTGTATTTGCTTATGACGAACAACGGTTATAAGGAACTGAAAATTGTGGTCCCTTTGAGTTCGTCATAACCGTAGTTTACTGTATTCTTCTATAAGTTGTAACTGAAATATTCTCTATCTACGTTTTCCGTGAATCATGACATAATCACTTACTGTGGATGTATAATTATGTGAAAAGTTGCATAAATGCTGAACCATAACTAATATAATTGCTTGCTGTGGATCTATAGTTATTTAAAGGTTTGCATAAATGTTACACCACGATAGACACACAAAGTTTGTCACACCATTTCTAAATAACCCCTTCAGTATGAAACAACATTTGAAGTTGCATTTTGGATACGAGCTTATACGCAACATAAGTAACGATAATAATTGTTCACAAACTTTTATTTTTCATAGCAGATCAAACCAAGGACAGACCACCAAATCCACTGAGTGCATCACTGAAATCGGGACTAACGAAATTAAGAGACATTTTTCGTGTCCGAGGTGCAGTGATATTTGGGATTTCTCAACTCATATGTGGATTAGGCTATCATTCTTACCCAACTTTCCTACCAGCCTACATCATGGCGTCACTTCCGGCTGTGACTTCCACTCAAGGTGCACAAGCTGTTTCCCTAATCGGGTTCGGGAATGTCATCGGGAGACTTGGGTTCGCCAGTCTGTCCATGCTCGGACCTAGGGTGCCCATTTATCTGTTTATACTTGGTCTAATCGTTTGTGGCTTCACCAACATCCTCGTCACCTTGTGCCAGAGCACGCATTGTTTCTTGGTCACGTCAGTGGTTTACGGTGTAGCAGTAGGTACGTCTTGGTTGAAACATGTGAGTATGTAGATTACAGTAACCGCAATACATGAATTCTGACACGGGTTTTTATAAAGTCAGTAGCTTACACACACCAATATTAATGATTATTATCAATAATTAATTTTTTAAAAACTGCGGCTAAAAGCCGTGTCTTCTGAAACGATAAACAGTAAACAAACCAAAGTGAAGACGTTTCTCATGTTGTTATTGTCTGAGGTTTGAAGCCAGTTGTTTTTGTTCTACTCTGTTCTTACTCTTGAGTATCGTACCCAGAGAGCAATAGCAATCGGGCTGTTGCTTTGTTAATTATGAACAGACTTGCCTCATAGTGGCGACATTCCTATAGATTTTTAAAAGCAATATCGGAAACACTAGTTGTACTATAACGTGCACTTAAATGTAGTCACAGTGGAAGTGACAAACACAACGGTAGAATTTAGATAGTTTAGAGATTCCTATAGAATTTTCAATTATTTTCCTTAGAAACGCATGATTTGCCATACTGATGTTATGGATCGCCTTTAGTTTGACATGAGGTATAACCATATGGTTCATGGCTTTCGTTCGAGATATTATGTGAACATTTTGTAATCTTGCAAAATATAATTCATGGATTTATTCTTGATGTTCCCATACATTTTCATGTTGTAGGTGGCTCGATGGGACTCTTCTCCATTGTGTTGGTAGATATGTTTGGACTGGAGAACATCTCCAAAACACTTGGGATATTCCTATTCTGCAACGGAATTGGTTTGTTGTGTGGACCGCCAATAGAGAGTACGACTATTTATGATTCTTTTCACTTCACAATCTTCTCACAGTTTGGCGCTTTAGACACACAACGTTTCAAGGAGACATTAAATGGTGTTGTTGACAAAAGAACACCCACTGCATTATTAAGAGAAGTGAAAGTAAATTGAAGCTAAATATGACCACAACATCACAAGTAATCCTTGGACTTCCCGGGATTAAGTTTTATAATGCTATGTTAACCAGCCCCAAACAGAGTAACATTGTTTCCTGGAAATAATTATGCCCTCTCAATGGTTCAATCATTGCCAAAAGCATTTGGAATATAATGATGCGATTGTTCCAATCAAACGTTGTTGTTAAAACACGTTACGTGCCAGGAACAAGCAACAGCTAAATGGTGTGATGCATCTGTCGGCCATTGGCAGGTTGTCCCAGTAGTCGACGTTGACTTCGCTGCGTGCCTTTGTCATGCCAGGATCTGCACAAAGTGGGTTCAAATCCGAGACTGATAATGTGTGGCTTGGCTTCTCTTCGATAGACGTGGGAAGCATGTGCGACCTGCCTTGCTTTAAGCCTTCCTTACGCTTTATATATATTACTCAAAAGAAGTTAAGGAACACCCAAATAAGTTATCGAAATCACTCAAAAAATAAATCGTGGACACAGGAACAACACTGATTGGGAAAGATAAGTATTTAATCATGACATTTCATTGACGAAAGAAACGCTGGCATACAGCTGACCAGAGCAAACAATATGAACTGCATGTACCCTATAAATCAAAAGTCACACACTGCAGTTCAGGATCATCCTGTTCCTTCAATATCGGGTATGCCCACCCCTGGAAGCAATACAGTCCTGACATCTTCTGCGCATAGATCGGACAAGCTTCTGCAATGTTGCCTGTGGAATTGCTTGCCATTCCTGATGAAGAAATCCTAACAGTTGCTGGAGATTAACAGGAAGTGGAAGGTTAGCTTGAACAGCTCTTCTCAAGGCATCCCAAAGATGTTCAATGGGCGCCAGATCTGGCGAATAAGCAGGCCATTGCACAACGGTTATCTGCCTTTGTCAGTGATAATCCGAGCGCGATGGTATCTTGCATTGTCTTCCTGAAGAATAGCACCTTGACCAATCTTACGATGTGTGGGAGTTCATGAATCTCATCACGGTACCTGGCAGCATTCAGATTCCTGACAATATGGTACAGAGGAGTCCTGTGATTCCAACTGAATCCTCCCCATACCATCACTGATCCCCCACCAAAAGCGACACGTTCACGTACCGTAGCATCAGTGAATCTCTCTCCAGTACGACGCCACGCCCGTATTCTGCCATCATTGAGCTGCAAACAGAATCGCGACTCGTCTGTAAACAGTACACGAGACAATTGCTGTCTGTCCCAACGCACATGTTGTCGACACCAAGCCAGACGTGCTGTTCTGTGAACTGGACGTAAAGGTGGTCTCACTGCTTGTCATCGACTTCTCAAGTGTGCAGCTCGTAAACGGTTTCGCACCGTCTGATCACTAACGACAGTGTAATTGACAGCCCTTAACTGTAACCTGAGGTTGTTTGCTGTTGATGTACGCTGCCTGAGTGCTTGGAGAACCAGGTATCGATCATCACGTTGTGAGGTACACCTTGGCCATCCAGAACGATGTCGCTCTTGCACTCTGCCAGTGGTCGCAAAACGATGACAAAGGATGTGAATGACAGAGGGGGACACCTGCAATCTTCTGCCCACCTCACGTAAAGAAAGGCCATCCTGGAGCCAACCAAAAGCTCGTCCTCTATCAACATCAGTCAGATGTCGTCTCTGTGGCATGGTTTTGGAAAGTGTGATTACACGATCATCGTCATCGCCTTCTTAAAGGGAAAGCATGCACGTGCGCCATGAACATCACCACTTTCAAATGCTGAGCATGAAAATTATGTTGGTTGTTGCTAAGGACAGGTGCAGCGTTGTGTTATATATTCCTGTGTTTTGCTCATGTTTTCAACTCATTTGCATGACTAGCAGAAGTGTTTCCAGAAAGTGTCAGGAGGACCAGCAATACCCCAGACGTGGTACAACATGTTGCCAAACATTAGATGATGGTAATGTTATAACACATAATGCCATGGCCAATTTGCTAAATCGTGTATTATATATCTGGTGTTCTTTAACTTCTTTTGAGTAGTATATATTTCTGAATTACTGTTCATACCTGTATTTAACCTAGGTAATGGATCTATATGCAAGATGCAACGACTTTTCTAGTTCAATAAGTTATTTGATGCATTCCTTCTCTCAGGAGAGATAATCCACAATTCCTATTAAAACGGCCAAGATGTATGTGATTCAGATATATCAAATCCTTGGATGTTAACTCTGTTCTGCACAGGTTCCTTGGTAGCACTGACTGGTGTGAGGGAGGACTTCTTCTACTCGTCTGGCACCTTTTACCTTCTCAGTGCTCTGGCCATAGTCCTCATCATAACTGGGAAAATAGGGACACAACTGCGCCGACGAACCTACAACATAAATGTAAAAAGTGTTTCCAACCCAGCATTTACGACCGCAAATGTGGATGCGTAGGGGTAGCATTTGGAGAGGTGAATGGGTAGCATCTGGAGAGGTGAAGGAGTAGCATCAGGAGAGGTGAAGGGGTAGCATCTGGAGAGGTGAAGGGGTAGCATCTGGAGAGGTGAAGGGGTAGCATCTGGAGAGGTGAAGGCATCTGGGGAGGTGAATGGGTAACATCTGGAGAGGTGAAGGCATCTAGAGAGATGAAGGGGTAGCATCTGGAGAGGTGAAGGGTAGCATCTGGAGAGGTGAAGGCATCTGGAGAGGTGAAGGGGTAGCATCTGGAGAGGTGAAGGCATCTGGGGAGGTGAAGGAGTAGCATCTGGAGAGGTGAAGGGGTAGCATGGGAGAGGTGAAGGCATCTGGGGAGGTGAAGGAGTACCATCTGGAGAGGTGAAGGGGTAGCATGGGAGAGGTGAAGGCATCTGGAGAGGTGAAGGGGTAGCATCTGGAGAGGTGAAGGCATCTGGGGAGGTGAAGGAGTAGCATCTGGAGAGGTGAAGGGGTAGCATGGGAGAGGTGAATGCATCTGGGGAGGTGAAGGGGTAGCATCTGGAGAGGTGAAGGAGTAGCATCTGGAGAGATGAAGGCATCTAGACAGGTGAAGGGGTAGCATCGGGAGAGGTGAAGGGGTAGCATCTGGAGAGGTGAAGGCATCTAGACAGGTGAAGGGGTAGCATCGGGAGAGGTGAAGGGGTAGCATCTGGAGAAATGAAGGGGTAGCATCTGGAAAGGTGAAGGCATCTAGACAGGTGAAGGGGTAGCATCGGGAGAGGTGAAGGGGTAGCATCTGGAGAGGTGAAGGCATCTGGAGAGGTGAAGGGGTAGCATCGGGAGAGGTGAAGGGGTAGCATCTGGAGAGGTGAAGGCATCTGGAGAGGTGAAGGGGTAGCATCGGGAGAGGTGAAGGGGTAGCATCTGGAGAGGTGAAGGCATCTGGGGAGGTGAAGGGGTAGCATCTGGAGAGGTGAAGGGGTTGCATCTGGAGAGGTGAAGGCATCTGGGGAGGTGAAGGGGTTGCATCTGGAGAGGTTAAGGCATCTGGAGAGGTGAAGGGGTAGCATCTGGAGAGGTGAAGGCATCTGGGGAGGTGAAGGAGTAGCATCTGGAGAGGTGAAGGGGTAGCATGGGAGAGGTGAATGCATCTGGGGAGGTGAAGGGGTAGCATCTGGAGAGGTGAAGGAGTAGCATCTGGAGAGATGAAGGCATCTAGACAGGTGAAGGGGTAGCATCGGGAGAGGTGAAGGGGTAGCATCTGGAGAGGTGAAGGCATCTAGACAGGTGAAGGGGTAGCATCGGGAGAGGTGAAGGGGTAGCATCTGGAGAAATGAAGGGGTAGCATCTGGAAAGGTGAAGGCATCTTGACAGGTGAAGGGGTAGCATCGGGAGAGGTGAAGGGGTAGCATCTGGAGAGGTGAAGGCATCTGGAGAGGTGAAGGGGTAGCATCGGGAGAGGTGAAGGGGTAGCATCTGGAGAGGTGAAGGCATCTGGAGAGGTGAAGGGGTAGCATCGGGAGAGGTGAAGGGGTAGCATCTGGAGAGGTGAAGGCATCTGGGGAGGTGAAGGGGTAGCATCTGGAGAGGTGAAGGGGTTGCATCTGGAGAGGTGAAGGCATCTGAGGAGGTGAAGGGGTTGCATCTGGAGAGGTTAAGGCATCTGGAGAGGTGAAGGGGTAGCATCTGGAGAGGTGAAGGAATCTGGGGAGGTGAAGGCATCTGGAGAGGTGAAGACATCTGGGGAGGTGAAGGCATCTGGGGAGGTGAAGGCATCTGGGGAGGTGAAGGCATCTTGGGAGTTGAAGGGGTAGCATCTGGAGAGGTGAAGGCATCTGAAGAGGTGAAGGCATCGGGGGGGGGGGGGGGGAGGCATCTGGGGAGGTGAAGGCATCTGAGGAGGTGAAGGCATCTGGAGAGGTGAAGGCATCTGGGGAGGTGAAGGGGTAGCATCTGGAGGTGAAGGCATCTAGGGAGGTGAAGGGGTAGCATCTGGAGAGGTGAAGGGGTAGCATCTGGAGAGGTGAAGGCATCTGGGGAGGTGAAGGCATCTGTGGAGGTGAAGGCATCTGGAGAGGTGAAGGCATCTGGGGAGGTGAAGGCATCTGGGGAGGTGAAGGCATCTGGGGAGGTGAAGGCATCTTGGGAGGTGAAGGGGTAGCATCTGGAGAGGTGAAGGCATCTGAAGAGGTGAAGGCATCGGGGGGTGGGGGGGGGGGGGGGGGGGGGGGGGGTAAGGCATCTGGGGAGGTGAAGGCATCTGAGGAGGTGAAGGCATCTGGAGAGGTGAAGGCATCTGGGGAGGTGAAGGGGTAGCATCTGGACGTGAAGGCATCTAGGGAGGTGAAGGGGTAGCATCGGGAGAGGTGAAGGGGTAGCATCTGGGGAGGTGCAGGCATCTGAGGAGGTGGAGGCATCTGGAGAGGTGAAGGCATCTGGGGAGGTGAAGGGGTAGCATCTGGAGAGGTGAAGGGGTAGCATCTGGAGAGGTGAAGGGGTAGCATGGGAGAGGTGAAGGGGTAGCATGGGAGAGGTGAAGGGGTAGCATGGGAGAGGTGAAGGGGTAGCATGGGAGAGGTGAAGGCATCTGGGGAGGTGAAGGAGTAGCATCTGGAAAGGTGAAGGCATCTGGGGAGGTGAAGGCATCTGGAGAGATGAAGGGGTAGCATCTGGAAAGGTGAAGGCATCTGGGGAGGTGAAGGGGTAGCATCGGGAGAGGTGAAGGCATCTGGGGAGGTGAAGGGGTAGCATCTGGAGAGGTGAAGGGGTTGCATCTGGAGAGGTGAAGGGGTAGCATCTGGGGAGGTGAAGGGGTTGCATCTGGAGAGGTGAAGGGGTAGCATCTGGAGAGGTGAAGGGGTAGCATCTGGGGAGGTGAAGGGGTTGCATCTGGAGAGGTGAAGGGGTAGCATCTGGAGAGGTGAAGGGGTTGCATCTAGGGAGGTGAAGGGGTTGCATCTGGAGAGGTGAAGGGGTAGCATCTGGAAAGGTGAAGGCATCTAGACAGGTGAAGGGGTAGCATCGGGAGAGGTGAAGGGGTAGCATCTGGAGAGGTGAAGGCATCTGGGGAGGTGAAGGGGTAGCATCTGGAGAGGTGAAGGGGTAGCATCTGGAGAGGTGAAGGCATCTGGGGAGGTGAAGGGGTAGCATCTGGAGAGGTGAAGGCATCTGGGGAGGTGAAGGGGTAGCATCTGGAGAGGTGAAGGGGTTGCTTCTTGAGAGGTGAAGGGATAGCATCTGGGAGGTGAAGGGGTAGCATTTGGAGAGGTGAAGGGGTAGCATCTGGGGAGGTGAAGGGGTTGCATCTGGAGAGGTGAAGGGGTAGCATCTAGACAGGTGAAGGGGTAGCATCGGGAGAGGTGAAGGCATCTAGACAGGTGAAGGGGTAGCATCGGGAGAGGTGAAGGGGTAGCATCTGGAGAGGTGAAGGCATCTGGAGAGGTGAAGGGGTAGCATCTGGGAGGTGAAGGGGTAGCATCTGGAGAGGTGAAGGCATCTGGAGAGGTGAAGGGGTAGCATCTGGAGAGGTGAAGGGGTAGCATCTGGAGAGGTGAAGGCATCTGGGGAGGTGAAGGGGTAGCATCTGGAGAGGTGAAGGGGTTGCATCTGGAGAGGTGAAGGCATCTGGGGAGGTGAAGGGGTTGCATCTGGAGAGGTGAAGGCATCTGGAGAGGTGATGGGGTAGCATCTGGAGAGGTGAAGGCATCTGGGGAGGTGAAGGCATCTGTGGAGGTGAAGGCATCTGGAGAGGTGAAGGCATCTGGGGAGGTGAAGGGGTAGCATCTGGAGAGGTGAAGGCATCTGGGGAGGTGAAGGGGTAGCATCTGGAGAGGTGAAGGGGTTGCATCTGGAGAGGTGAAGGCATCTTGGGAGGTGAAGGGGTAGCATCTGGAGAGGTGAAGGCATCTGGGGAGGTGAAGGGGTAGCATCTGGAGAGGTGAAGGTATCTAGGGAGGTGAAGGGGTAGCATCTGGAGAGGTGAAGGGGTAGCATCTGGAGAGGTGAAGGGGTAGCATCTGGAGAGGTGAAGGTAACTAGGGAGGTGAAGGGGTAGCATCGGGAGAGGTGAAGGGGTAGCATCTGGAGAGGTGAAGGGGTAGCATCTGGAGAGGTGAAGGTAACTAGGGAGGTGAAGGGGTAGCATCTGGAGAGGTGAAGGCATCTAGGGAGGTGAAGGGGTAGCATCTGGAGAGGTGAAGGGGTAGCATCTGGAGAGGTGAAGGCATCTAGGGAGGTGAAGGGGCAGCATCTGGAGAGGTGAAAAGGCAACATCTAGAGAGGTGAACAGGTAGCATCTGGAGAGGTGAATGGGTTGTGTCTGAACAGGGAGAAGGGAAGCATCTTAAAGAGGTGGTGGGGTTGTTTTTTATGGTTTGTATTTGCGGAGGTGAAGGTTAGGTTAGGTATAGGTTGAGAGGCGTGGGGAGGATACTGTCTGGAGAGGTGAAGGGTTAGTGTGTGGAGGGGTGGAGAGAAAGCATCTGGAGATGTTTTCAGGTAGGGCCTGGAAATGTGTATTAGTAACGTCTAAAAAGGTGAAGGGGAAGAGTCCAGAGAGTGGTGGGGTGGGGTGGGTTGTGCTTTAGTTGTGTTATATATATATATATATATATATATATATATATATATATATATATATATATATATATATATATATATATTCCACTATATATCTTAATATCTTTCCAGAACTATTGATTTTGGTGATTGATTGACTACAATATTCACTGATAATAATCCCTTTATTGTCTTCGCAAATATTTTAAAAATAAGATATACAAGCAGTAGTGTCGACTTGGCCATTTGCTGCTGTTTCATTATGAAAATATGTTTTAGATGTGTTTGGGTGTTTGCTGAAATTCGTTATTGAGTGGATCTATTGACGTGACGGAGTTGATACTTTTTGTAATAATTTTCTCTTAGGAAGTATTGTATAAAATTATTTATTACAAAAGAAGAACCACTTGTGTTTTTTCATTACCTGGTGGCACATTGTTGCATTTTCTTTGCAATACATTTCTAATGACATAATATATACCTTTTCTGAAACTAGTGGGACAAACCTGCTCATATACTGATGAATGGCTCCCCGGTATGATGAAGCAGTTCACATACTTGCTTTATTTAGTAAATGAACGGACACACATACCTTTGACATGTATAAAAACAGCTTGTTTAAAGAGTGGGTTACATGGCCACATAGGGTGACAATATATACTCACAAGCAAAAGAAACGCAAGTCGAGTATACCGCTGAGCAGTGACGCCGTGTCCCCGACCTTGACCAACATTCAGAAAACACATGGGTCCAAGTCTCGCATTTAGTCCAATCCCTGCCCATATCATGACGCTAGGTCCACCCCATGGATCCCTTTCCACAACGTTTCTGTCAGCGAAACGATCACCTCGACGCCGCCAAATTCTGACTCTTCCGTCTGCATGGGAGACACCAAAGCGACTTTCATCAGAGAAAGATGACACGCCGCAACTCACGAAGACGCCAATTGCGATGACCCTGTGCCCACTGAAGTCGTGCTTGTAGATGCCGTGGTTAAAGAACAGGACGATGTGCTGGTCGGCGACATCTGAGGTTGTTGGAACGGAGACGTCGGATCACAGTGTCCCGTCTAATGTGTCGATTATGTGTTCCTATGGTCTGTCGAGCACTTTCACTTGCAGTAAGGAACGGATGACGCTGGTGTTGACGGGTATTCTGCCGATCTTGTCGAGGTGTGGTGACCCTAGGACGACCGCTCCGAGGAAGGTCATCTGCGGTCTGTGTAGCATTGTATCGATGCAGGAACGGTAAATTGTGGTTATGTTATAGACTTTTCAGGAGGTCAATGTCTGTTGGTACGTCCTCGGTCAATATTGTTTTTCTTGGGTCCGTAAAAAAACAGGTACTGACCGAATAAAAGCCTATAACTGTTTTATTATAAAATAGTTACTGACAGTACACATTTTAAGATTCAACACTTTTAATATTGAACAGTCAAAAATCAACAACATGGTAGGCTAAAGATGTACATATTCTGCTGCTGATAGATTTGTAATTAATGGTCACCTGACGGTTGTTCATAATGCTCTCATGCTTTTGAAACATGGAACTGTTACTGGTGTGTACATGAATTTGTGGTATTTTGAGGGGCATCTTTAACGGTAGCTGCCGCAGGAATTGGCACAAACTGGAGAATGCCATCGAAGTATATATTATCGTAAGCCCAGTACATGTTAATAAAACCAAGCATGTATTATGGGCCTTTGGCCTTTATGCTGTAATAAAGAATCTAATCTAATCCAATCCAATCCAATCCAATCCAATCCAATCCAATAGTTTGTTGGTAATCAGACTAAAGCCCTTTTCTCACATTCACGAATCTGAACAAGAATGAACACGATTTACCGTTTTTCCTTAAATCGTGTTGGAACGTATGAAGGTCGCGCACTCATTCGTGTTAAGTCGTGGTCGGTCGCGCGCGGTCGTATGGACGTGGCAGCTCGGCTTAAATCGTGTTCTAAATTTTTGCAATGAAAAGCCGTGTTCAGTCGTATGAAGGTCGTATGAAGGTCGTATGACAGTCGTGTCCAATCGTATGAAGATCGTGTTCAGTCGCGTTCAGTCGTGTTGGGGAGCGTGGGAAGAAACTCATACGACCTTCATACGTTTTAACACGATTCAATACGACTTTCATACGCCTTTCATACGACTCCCATACGCCTGAACACGAAATCCATACGTTTGTCATACGACCGGAAGAGCCAATCACATGACTGAGTGAGAACGTGGGAATCCCCCTGAAAGTGAAAGCTCATTCTACAGCCATGCCAAACCTCAGGCGGCCTAAACGGAAGCTCCTCCAAGCAAAACCGTCGAAAGGGAAACATCCTTCACCACCAACCATGGATGAACATCCACCCGGTACCCAGGGACAAGAGGAGCCAGATGAAACCTCTGAACCACCACCAAAATCATGGTGAAGACTGACACAGAAATGCTGTTGCAATGCAGCTTATATACTACATGACCCACGTGAACAAAATAAACAAAAATATGTCGTGTGAAGGTCTTTCTCAGTCGTATGGAGATCGCGTTTATTTTTGTAGTCGTATGGACATCGTAATGATTCAGGGTTTAATCGTGTGGCGGTCGTGTTGATTCGTGTTAAATCGTATGGGTGTCGTAAGACAGTCGTCCTACGTCGTATGACATTCGTATTGGGGTCGTGTTAAATGAGGTTAAATCGTGTTGTATCGTATGAACATCTTCTGACGGTCGTATGAGTGTCGTGTTCAGTCGTATGAAGGACGTCGTATGAGGGTCGTATGAGGGTCGTTTTTGGTCGTATGAGGGTCGTGTTTGGTTAAGAAATTAGCATAAACTACAATGTCGAGCACGAATCAACACGATTTTTCAATTTTTCTTAAATCGTGTTCGCAATTTCTTCAATCGTGTATGTGAGATAGGGGCTTAAACCGCTTACCCGATGTATCGCTTCCGAGAATTTTTGAATTCCTTGAACAGCGCCATTCTTCGAACAGTCGACATGCCCAGTCGATATTCTTGCGAGGTTTTTTCCGGTGGGAATTTCTCTTTCA